GTCTGCTGGATTTTGTGCAGTTTTTAATTGGCAGCATAAACGAGGATAAAATGTTGATAAATGTTTTTTTTGCTTTCCAAAAGATAAAAATAAGTTAGTATCTTTTTGACTATTTAAATATATATATATATATATATATATATATATATATATATATATATATATATATAATATATATATATATATATATATATATATATATATATATATATATATATATATATGTATATATATATATATATATATATATATATATATATATATATATATATATATATATATATCAGTGGCGGATTTAGTATAGGGCGTGGGGGGGGCGAGCTGCCCCTCCACGCCCCCCTAGAACGGTCTAACGGCGCCCCCTCAAACAATTAAAATATGTATATATAATATATATATATATATATATATTTTAATTGTTTTAGGGGGCGCCGTTAGACCGTTCTAGAGTGGCGTGGGGGGCAGCTCGCCCGGGGTTGCCTTCAGTAATTTAATCTTATATATATTATATATAAGATTAAATTACTGAAGGCAACCCCGGTCGCCCCTATTTATTGACTTGGCCCCCCCGCGACGCTAAACCTCAATCCGCCACTGATATATATATATATATATATATATATATATATATATATATATATATATATATATATATATATATATATATATATATATATATATATGTATATATATATATGATTTAGCATCAGTGTAGTTTGAAATAAATAAAAAAAAAAAAATTTTTATTCCTATTTAAATTAAAATTTATCTTAAAATTGATTACGATTGATAACTTGATTGATAGAATCTCATCAAGTTGATTGTTATGGTCACATCCAGCAAAATGTATAAACATGGTGTTACCGTTAGTGCCACGTGTTGCAAAGTATAAATGCATTGCCTAACTATTACAGCTTCTTACTGTATGCAATGTGTGATGTATGCACATTTCTTACTAAATGTGCATACATCACACATTGGTTAGGGTTACTGAATGTCCTGTTGAACACATTTTTATTAAAAATGCGTTTAAAAGTTTACGAAACAAATTATGTTATAAAAAACTTGGTATTAATGAAAATAAAAACCTTCCTTTTATTATATTTTAAACAAAAAAAAATATTTACGTACAGCATTGGAAAACCATACAGAAGCATATTTACAATTTATGTATTTATCATGAAGTATTATCAATAAGTTTGGTACAATATTTTCTAAGAATTGTAGAGTTCTCCCAAACCACTAGAAACTCTCGCTGATTTACAATTTCAAAAGGATTTATGATTTATTATTTATGATTTAAGTTTATTTGTTCGAAATAAAAATTTTAAATATTAGTTCGAAATAAAAAATTGATTTATAATAATAATAGTAATAACAAATTTAACAAAAAAACAAAAAAAAACAAAGAAAAATAATTTATTGATTGAGAATATAAAATATATCGAAGCATCTGGAAAATATAAAATCATTTAGAAAACACCTCCCTGAAAAAAAAATAAACGGAGGCTTTTCATATAACTTTTTCATGTACTCGCACAACAGTTAAAAGATGATTCAAAAGAAGATTCTAGCATCTATCGATATGGTTAATGAACTGTAACTTAAGTTGCATGCTCTATAAAGTTATTATAAATAAAAGTATCCGATTTGATGACTTCATTTAATTATATATATATATATATATATATATATATATATATATATATATATATATATATATATATATATATATATATATATATATATATATATATATATATATATATATATATGTATATATATATATATATATATATATATATATATATATATATATATATATATATATATATATATATGTATATATATATATATATATATATATATATATATATATATATATATATATATATATATATATATATATATATATATATATATATAACGCTATTTTTCCATTCATTTAATTAGCGTAGGGGAAGTTGGGGCGCAGTAGATGGAATTTCTTTTGAGATATATGTCCTTTATGATAACAAATCGCCAAAACAAAAATATTTATTATCTCACGGCTCACAGAATGGTTTAAAAGTGAGTTGTGTTACGTGATTCACTGTGACACTGTACACTATACTTTTGGCATTCGTTTATTTATTAGATTAGAATAAAATCGTAAAAATAGACATTTTGAAAATAGAGAAGGAAAAAAAAGAATTTTATTGATAACGAAACTCATAAAAAAATTTAAAAATTAAAAACTTATTCAAATATTGTTATTCATAACTTGAAACTAATAAATTCATTTTCATGTAGTTTGTTTGTTACAAATGCATGAATTTAATCTTTAAGATCATTAATGGGGCATAATGAATCAACCAATTCAATGTACCCCGATTCACGCTGCCCCACTATAGCAAATTAAGTTTAAGTTTAATTTCTTGGGACATGAGTGTTGTTAAAGGAAATACTAAACTACTAAAAGGAAGCATAGATATCAATATTCCAAAAGAAAAATTTTAACTTTAAAATTATTTCAACCATGATCTCCTTAAAAAACATAAGAAAGGTAAGAAAATTTACTTTAGTTAGCTATTATAGTTGTTACCACAGTCAAAAATTATGTGGTAACAACTATAGATAAAGATTGCTGATATATAGGTACATAAAACAATTATATTGTCAAGATGAACAAAATTCTAATCTTTGAGAATATGCCTCTTAAATCCTCTATATAGACCTTGTTATTATATTTGGGCTCTAGATATTCTATAGGATTCTATTAAATTTCTATAGAATTTCTGTTAACTTTTATAAAAATTTCTAAAAAAATTTTTTTTCTTTTTTTTTTTTTGATAGAAAAAAAGTTTTATAGCAATTTCTATAGAAATCATTAGACATTCTATAGAAATTCTATTGAGTTTCTATACATATGGCCATATGTTTCAAAAATTTATAGAAAATTCTATAGAACTTTTTTTCCTAGGATATCAATCACCATTGCTAAATCTTGTATCAATTATTTATTACAAAGTAGATTAGCCGTTTCTAAATATTCTTAACTAATGCAAAAACTTATATTAAACTGGATTCACAAAGCCACTGTTGTTTAAATTGTTTGTCGAACCTCTTTTAATCTTTACAATTTTAGCCAAAGTTTTTCGGAGATATTTTTATGTTCGAGCGGAATTTTAGTTTGAGTTAAGTAAAAAATCACAATTATCATTAATAAATACTTGATACGATTTGTTTTATTTACGTCAGTAAAATCATCTACAATTGGTTGCAGAAAACGACTTTAACAATGCAAAATAAATGTGAATAAGAATGTGAAAATATTTGTACATTAAAAGTATAGATGAATTCAAAGTGACGTCGCGCGTTTACATTTTTTTGGACGCAAAGGACACTGGCAGGATAGAAAGAAAACACGAAAAAAAAATGTGGAGTGAGTCTGAATACTTTTTAACATTAGAAGAAAACAATAAAGATGCATATAAAAAAAAAAAAAAAATTAACTTTGTCAAGTGGAATGTTACTCCCTGACCCTTTTACGTACTTAAAAATTGGAAAAATAACGTTTCAATGATGCCCGACATTACATGGGGTGGCATGTACAATTACCTAATTAACTCACCAAGTAACTTTACATACGATTCAATGAAAACCTATAAATCATTGGAATTGTACAACTTTTACGTTTGTGGGCATGTTTAAGATGTATGCTATAATTTAATTGAAGGAAAGAATGAATTTTGATTCATTAAATCTGAGGTGATTTTGCATATTACAAAGTAAAGTTCACAGTGAAAGTGGCAAAAAAAAGTGTTTGAAAAATTAAAACCATAAAATTTATTTTGAGTAATATATAAAATGATATATGTTTTTATTTATTTATTCGACTGAAGGAAAGAAGCAGAAATTTTACTAAGTGTGGGTAGCAATAAATTAAGTTAATGGGTGGATTTTAACGACAAATTGCAAATGCATGGCAGGGAAAGTGCATCAATTAAATAGTTTAATTTTTATTTTTTTTTCAACAAGTATTTTAAGAAGTTTAATCGGTTATACATTTTTGAAATTATAGATTTGGCTTTGTGTGTAGTCACATCGGTTCTTTGTTGTTTAAGCTTGTTGCGTGTGCACAGCTCGGTTTAAATAAAATATCTTGCACAAGCACAATGTGCAGTTGGAAAAAATCACGCAAATCAGTAACGCCAGCCCCACTAAAATAAATAAATTTTTCTCGACCAAAGAAGCGTGAAACTCTTTTAAATATAAGTGACAATGAAAACTCACAGGGTGAAAGACCTTACAGCTTTAAGGGTCCTACACCAACTTCAGATAGTAAAAAAAAAAAAGTTGCTAGAACTCAAAAAATAAGAATGCTGCTATTTTTAAGTCTGTAGACATTAAAATGGAGACTGTAGCAATAAATTCTTACAAGCAATGAGTCGCGAAAACACATACAAACATAGTTGTTATAGAAACTAGATTGCATGTTCTTCACAAAAATCCATGTCTTGGTGCTTCACCTGATAGTATGGTGTGTTGCGATTGTCATGGTTCCAGTGTAGTGGAAATTAAGTGCCCATATAAGTATAGAAAAGGGTTAAAAAGTTGGAAAGCAGATACGGATTTTCCTGTAAACGTTGACAATACGATAAAGAAAACACACCAGTATTACTTTCAAGTGCAGCAAGAAATGTATATTACTAATACTACATACTGCCATTTTTACATTTGGACCGAAGGAAAAAATGAAAACGATACGATGTCAATAAATGTTCCGATTGATAGGGTCTTTTGTGAAAAACTGGAAACTGGAAGACAAATTCTTACTACCTGAAATAGTGTCTAGAAAAAATGATCCTAATAACCTTTTGAGCGATCAAAAAATATTTTTTAAACTCTTACTACCTGAAATAGCGTCTAGAAAAATTATCCTAATAACCTTTTGAGCGATCAAACATACTGCATTTGCAAACGCTCAAGTTTTACACCAATGATTGGATGCGACGGAAAAAGCTGCAAAATAGGATGGTTTCATTACAGTTGTATTGAAATAAAAAATGTCCCTAAAGGTAAATGGTTCTGCAAGGAATGCATATAAATAAACAAATAAAGGATATAAATATTTATACATATATAGGATAATAGATAATTATATTTATTAATTACAAATATTAATAATTATTATTATACAATATATTTATTTCCATTGGTATATTTTTCATTGGTTTTACACAATCATTAAACAATGATAAATGCCGCAAAAATAAATTTGCATTTAGCAAACCAGTACAAAAAGGTAAAAGTGAATTATCATCTTTTAGTTTTTCAAACCAAATATAATGAGAAACAGATGATGTTATAGCTTTGAATATCGTAATCTTTAATTCAACATTATTTTTACTCAAAGCTTTGACTTTAGAATGTAGCTCAGCAGCAAAATTAATATCACCAGTCTGAGATTCTAAAAACATGATTATGTAACCATTTATTTTATCAAAGAACGAAAGTAAAATCTTAAAATTAAATTAAAACTTATTTACCTTGATTTAATTTGAAAGGGTCGACTGATGTTACTGCATCCATGACTGACATCTGTTCATTTTCAGCTCTTGTTTGAGATAAATTATCTTCAGTATTTTTTTTTGTTCTTTTACAACTTCTTTCAAATCCTTCAATACTTTGATGTTTTTTTGAAAAAGATTGCTGTCTGTATAAAAAAATAAATAGAACATAGTCAGGAGTATTAGGATTGTCTGATTTTTTGCCTAAAAAAAGAGAAGAAAAATAATTAAAACCTTATTTGTTTTATTAAAATAAAAGAAGTTATTTTAAATTAATTAAAACAAAGATAATAATAACATTATAAAAACTTCTAGTTATCAAAAGAAAAAAAAAAATGAAATGAAAATGAAAATGAAAATGAAAAAAAATTAAAATTAAATACCTGAAATAAAATGTTTACTACATAATCTGGCGTTGTCAATCATATTTATTGGCCAGTTTTCACGTTTTAAGGCTTGCAACCATAAAACTCTTCTGTTTTTTGATGTTTCTGTATTTCCAAAAGGAATGCGGTAAAAACTCAAGTTTTTATCGCCTTTTATTCTATTATTCATACACCCTACAGCTCAACAACTGTCAGGCATTAGATTTTAAGAGTTTTTAAAAAACGTTAATCTAATTAAGTTAGCAAGCAGATTATTTATATCAATGTTTGTTTAATAAACGTTCCCTATGTTTGCAAATTTTATGAAAGCGCTTTTAGAAATTTTTCAACTATCAGAAGTTGACTTACAGTTTCCTAATTTGTCAACCCTTTGCTTTTCTATAAAAACCCTTTTACTATTATTAGAACTTAATATTTGAAAGCAGTGCCGCTGAGAGGGAGAAGCAAAAGAGCCATACGTGCCCCGGGTGCAAAGATAATAGGGCAGCCAAAATACGAAAGACAGAAAAAACGATAATGAGATTTTATTTACAAAAAAGTAAAAAAATTGTTTTATGAGATATAAAATAAATTTGTTTGGTGATCTGCATGACACTTTTATTTGCATTTCTAAAAAATTATAGTTTAAATAATTTATCTTTTTAACATAGGTGAAAAAAACAAAAAAAAGGAGAAAAAACTAAAAAAAAAAAATATTAAACTTGTCTAACGATATTGAAGAAAATACTACGACTTAACCAAAAAATTCATTTTATCCATAAATCTTATAAATGCTTTTATGATTATTCTGAAAAATAACTATTTAAAGATTTTGAAAATAAAAAAAAAATTAATTAACTCTAATTGCTAAGGTTTAACAACTCCCTACGGATTGTTAAAACCTCAACGCAAATCAAATGTCACACCTACTCTTAAAAAGTAAAAAACATTATCAACAACCTGATGTCTCTCACCTATATCGTGCAAGGTGACCAAGAGAGTAATCATAGATTTGATTATGAAACACTATGCACAATCAAAGTCTCCACATAAGTTAGTACATTACAAATTTCGCTCACAAACCTGATTCAAACAGCGACTTATACTGCAATATAAAATTGCTTATCATTTACCATTAAAATTAAGACGGTAAAAACTGTTTCTATAAGATTCTTATTCTTCTGGTCGAAAGAAGATACGGCTGACAGGTATCACCACAATCTTTTCATAGAGCAACTTTAACAATAACATTTAAAGTCCACATGACTTTAGTAAGTATACAACAAAATATTTTTTTTTAAAAATATTACGAGAAGATTATACAAAAACTTTGTTTCAATATATATATCAGGGCCGACGAAACCGGAAAGGGCAGGGGGCACGTGCCTCCTCCCCACTTTTTTGCTAGACGACCATTTGTTTTTTTTTTTTTTTAAGAAAAGATTTTTTAACGAAATTTTTTTCAAGATATAGAGGACTTTTTTCACAAATTGATGATTGTGTCCCCCCTCCCTCCACTTCCAACCCGTGTCGTCGGCCCTGAATATTAAAAATCTTTAATTAAATAACGTTAAAATAAACATACTGTAGCATGTCAAATATATATAGTAAAGGTATGTAAGATATACGTTAGGCTTTCTCAACCAAATATTCACAAAAAGCCTGTAGACTATTTTCCAATCTATATACATTCTAATTTGAATTTAGCTAGTAAAAAAGCAAGAAAATAGTGTCTTCAATATTAGTTTCATAGAATCTATTTATTATTCCTAACCAGTGTATGTGCTGCATAAGTCTTGTGAATCCAAATGCGGTTCTCTAAAATAGGGATGTTATTTAACAACATTAGAAATAAAAATAAAAAAATTCATTGACTTGTACAACTGTACATGCTTTTAAATTAAAAACATACATGCTTATAGGGACGCCTAATTGCTGCAATGCTTCGGGCGTCTTAATGAAAGCTCTTGGCGGCCCTATTTGGAAGAACCAAACAACTTTTGGATAAAATTAAACAACAATGAATAGTAGTTAATTGTCCTCGTTTGTTGTTTTTAAAAGTATCACCTCAAATTAATTTATGTATGCATCAAAATCAATGGTATGTATCAATCACTCAATGATCTCTCAATGAAAAATCAAAATCAATATGTATGTATCAATCACTCAATGGTATATTAGTGTATTGGTATATAAGTATAATCAATCAATGGTATATTGGTATATGGAATATTGGTATATTGGTATAATCAATCAATGGTTTATTGGTATATTGATATAACCAATCAATGGTATTTTGGTATATGGTATATTGGTATAATCAATCAATGGTTTATTGGTATATTGGTATAAGCAATCAATAGTATATTGGTATATGGTATATTGGTATAATCAATCAATGGTTTATTGGAATATAGATTATTTTCTTTTTATAAGCAAAAAAAAAAAAAAAAAAATTCTTCAAAAAATTCTTCAAAAAATATTAAGTTTATATTTTTTATACTTTTTTAATATATATTGATATAAATTTTTCTTAAAATTGTTAAATTGTTTATATTATATTTCTATTATTTTCTATTATTCTATTATTTACTATTTTCTTCATCGAAATAAATGAAAACTGTTTTTATGTAATTTTGATTTTTTTTGTTTATTATTTTGCTTTGTGTTCATTTATTAATGAAAATCAGTTTATTATTTTATTTTTCCAATTTGATTGTATTATATTTGATGACGTTATTTATGATGTTAATTGACTTTTAAATATATATTGTATACGGATTATGAGGGGTTTGGCGATGGGACATTTTTGTCTTCTTCTTGCGACCATTTGTATATTTTATGAAAATTATTTCTAGACGAATTCAAAAAATAAAAATCAGGGTAAAATAGAGAGAAATTAAATTATAAAAGAGTTTTACGTCTATACCAATCCACTGATAAAATCTCTTACAAGATATCATTGCAAATTCTCGTTAAAGAAAAGGCGGAAATAAGTTATATAGTTCTTAGGGCTAAAAATTTGTATATAGGACTGTATTTAAAACATGTTTTTAAGCGGCCAGTTAAAATTAGTAATATTTTCATTAAATGAAAACATTTTGAACTAGACAATGACTTAAATGTTGCAATCATAATGAAAAAATTCTGTCTTTGAAAAAAAAAAGCATTTATCACTAATTCATCAATGTTTCTACCCAAGCATTATTATCTTACTATATTATCATATATTACTATATATCTATACATATTATCTTACCTTAAAGATTTTTACTCGAACATAAATAATTCTACCCGACCATACGCACTTCAACACAAACATAAATACTTCTATATATAATTACTAAAATAATATTTGTGTTTAACTTTTTAGTTGAATATAAAGTTGTTGCTAAGCAAACATTACGGTTGCTACTTAGTAAACAAAAAAAGTTCGACCTTTTGCAGTTAAAAAACAAGCTTTTCATACGGCGTTAAGAAAGTTTAACATTTTTATAACATTAACTCATTTTTTGAATTTTTCAGATAAAAATAAAAATTGCGTTTAGTTGTATTATTTGAGAAATCCAAGAAAAAATATGCTAATCATATACATTCATATACAAGATAGCCTTATGTAGAAGATTTTTTACGGGATGTTATATATATATATATATATATATATATATATATATATATATATATATATATATATATATATATATATATATATATATATATATATATATATATATATCAGCCGGTAAATATTTTCAAACTATTTTTTTAGAAATGAGTTATAAAGAAGAAGATGAGGCTTTAGAAGTATATGAAGGATCTAGAAATAATAATGGGGAAAGGCATGGGTTTGGAAAATGTTATTTTACCAATGGTGATATATACGAAGGTCAATACGAACATGGAAAAAGACATGGCAGTGGAAATTACCAGTAATTTTTTTTCTTATAAAAATAAAACGTTTCATAAATTATGAAAAAAAAAGTAAATGAAAAAGTAGTTAAAAAAGTATTAACATAAAAAGTAAACACTTAATAATGTGTTTATTTAAATCTCTCTTTTTTTTAACAAAATGTTGTTAAATTTACTGTTATTAATGTGATTATTTAAGTCTCTCTCTTTTAATAACACATTTAATTGTTATTATATTTACTGCAAATTAAAGAGTAACATGTTTAATGAAAAACAAAAACAATTTTTCTTCAGTGATGGAAACAGTAATAATGCATCATAGTAATAAAATGGAAGCAGTAATAACTTATTGCATATCTGTTTTAAATTTCACCATAGTGTACGACTTTATTAGTATTGGCACATTCATTACACTCAAACTAACTTAATATGTCTACGTCAAATGAGAATGTCGTGTAAAAAATTGCAGTGAATTGAACTTGGGACAGAAATACTCTGAAGTGTTTGCCTAAAATTTTTTTAACTATTTTAAACTAAATTTAAGTTCATAGACAGGTTTTAAATTTTTTTTACTATTTTAAACTAAGTTTAAGTTCATAGGTTTTAAATTTCATCAAGTAATCTTTAGGCGTTTGAAAGTAATGACCATGTAAAGTATTCTCTCCAAAATTTTAAATTTTGCAAATTGTAATAATTACAAAAATAACAATTACAAAAATAATATTTGGTTTTGTATTAATACTTTTAATATTTGTTAATTATAAATATGAATAAATGTTAGTAGCATACTGTTAATACTGTGTTGTGCTCTTTCTTTAAAAGTGTTTTGTTTTCGAATTGCTTTTTTGTGATCTGAAACCTGTGTTTTTTAAGTTGTTTAAAATATGCGTTGCTTGTTCTAATAAATATAAAAATTTAATCAATCATCACATTTTAGTTTTTTTAAGGTTTGTTTCTGGAGCTCAATACATCGGTGAATACCAAAACGGTAAAAAGCATGGCTGTGGAACAATTAACAATCCGGATGGAAGTAAATACGAAGGGCAGTGGTTTAATGGTCAAAAAAATGGTAGCGGTACGTACCATTATGTAAATGGAGATATATATGAGGGCGAATGGAGTAGAGATCAACGTAATGGTCATGGAAAATATATATATTATGATACAGGTAAAAAAGATAATTATAACTTTACTAACGTAATATTAAAATACATAATACATAATATGTATTTTTTTTTAAACTATTAGAACTAATCTCTAATAGTTTTATACATTTTATAAAAAATACTTTCTAAAACTTTATAAAAACATTCTATATAAAATACTTATATACAACTGTTTAATACAAACTTTCACTAACAATTACTATCGAGGTGAGAAATGAGCTCAAGCAACAGCTCGTAACAATATTTTGATACGAGCTTTTGCTAGACGTCTTTTTTGGTCAAGATTGCTTGCTATCACCTAAACTAAGGGTATAAACGGATTATTAAAATCTAATATTAACAATGCTGTTAAACATAAATAGTTTGAAATTTTTATTTAAGTTTATTGGAACTACTTTACGCTGCCAAAAAATAGAGCATTTTACTTACTATATAAACTCAATATTGTTATATATACTATATATAATATATATAATATACTATACTTCTAAAGTCTTACTATATTTTTTTAATAACATACTTATTATATATAGTTGTAAATAACATTATCACCATGATTTTTATTACCACATTTTAAACAATATTTAAAATAGTGTTTTAAAAATATACACGAAATACAACAGGTGATATTAATCCTACATACTAGATTTCTATTTATTAAAAATTGTATACTTTTGGCTTGAACTTTCTGAACTTGTCATATATCTAGTTATATCAATAGTATATTAATAGAATATATAGCAAAATACATACTGAAACTTTTTTAAACCCTGTGTAATAGGATTTAGAAACTAATAGTTTATAAATAGTTCTATTACTGGTAACAACAAGAGATAACTTCAAAACAGCAACATCATGATACTCCAGCATAATGGCATCGAGAGACATATTTTTTGAAACTATCAAATCAAACTTTGTTAAACTTTTACCAAGGACAAGAAAGTCAATTTCAAATTGGTATGCTGGATTGGATCAGGCCGCTGACAGCTTGCGAATATATATATATATATATATATATATATATATATATATATATATATATATATATATATATATATATATATATATATATATATATATATATATATATATATGTATGTATATATATATATATATATATATATATATATATGTATATATATATATATATATATATATATATATATATATATATATATATATATATATATATATATATATATATATACATGTATATATATGTATATATATATATATATATATATATATATATATATATATATATATATATATATATGTATATATATATATATATATATATATATATATATATATATATATATATATATATATATATATATATATATATATATATATATATATATACATATATATATGTGATATATCCTTAGTAAGGTATAATTACAGAAAATTACTCCTTCAAAAAAAATTGTATGAAAAGTCGTTATTTCTAATATAATTTCTTCCTATGAAAGTATAAAATTATGTGTTATTAAGGGTATATCATATATCCTACCCTAAGGTTGAAATTTGTACCTTTTTTTTTTTTTAATGTGTAATTATTGACATACTGTAACAAAATCGCAATGTTTAAAGTATAAAAATTTTCGTTAAAATGTTTCAAGAGACTATTTTTAATTGGAATTTTATTTTTTGAGCTAGATGAAACAGATCACGGGGGTTAGTAAAAACGTATTATAAAATTTTAAAATACTTTTTGTAAAATTATAAAATTTTACTATCATTAAATACTCGAGCATTTAATAATAAGAAAGCATCGAAATATTTTGTAAGAAAGCAAAATTATTGCTATCAATAGTAGTAGCAGCCAAGGCAGTAGTTTTTTGACAGTCAGTAACTATAGTTGCTGACTTTCTACTTTATAAAGTAGAAAGTTTATTATGTACCGTAGCTAATATTAGAGGTTTTCTCTCACTCATAAAGACATACGAAAAAATTTCATGATTAAATGGACAGATTCCGCTAACTTGAAATCTGCACATATGTTTTTTGGTGTCTGTCAAAAAATAGTATAGCGCACTGAGCTTGGAATGTCGTATGTGGTGTTAAAAAATATTTTAAGTGAAAATTAGACTAGCCTCTCTAATGACTGTATCTTGTCAAGCAGTAAGGTAAAGTAGGCAGTATAACAATCCTATTGTCCAGTATAATATTCCTATTTTTTAAATTCTAATTCACTCCCAACAAGGCTGCAAGCAATCAATATTAAGTTAGGAGATTTTTAGGAAAAAAAATAATAGAGATAAAGAGCCAAAAAGCGGTTGACAGAAGAAAAGTTGTAGGTTGTTTATGTCAGGAAAACATGAAGATAGAGAGAATCTCAAAGAATTGAATTGCGGGTAAAAGAATTAGACGACTATAAGTACTTGCAGGGACAGATACAGTAAACGAATTAGACTTAGCTGAATAACGAGTCAAACGAGAATGAGTTTTAGTTGATGTAACTAGAGATGATTACTCCTTTGAGCAGCAACCATGATAGTATTTGTAGAAAAGAGAAATAGATGCAACTTTACGACTATGAAAGAATGGCTCAAGATTAGCAGATAGAGCGGGTCCAACTACGTTTACAATGCGTTTTTGAACCTTGTCTGGAAAAAAAAGAGCATCATCAGAAGACCAGCCCAAATACGACAACATTATTCCATATAGGGATGAATAAGAGATTTATAGAGGTAGAGAGTGGAATCAGGAGTAAAAAAATGACAATCACAATAAAGAGAAGCAAGCTTAGTGGATCCTAACTTAGCAATCGATTGTATATATGGTTTCCATGAAAGTTTAGTATTAAACAATAATTCAAAAAAAATTTTCAGATTTTTTTTTCAGATAATTTTTTCTTGAAATCAAAGGTTCAAAACTTTGACAAGTTGGTCCACAAAAAACAAATCCATTTTGTTTTATTTTTTTGCTAAAAAAATCTTCTGTGGTTTTTGTACAATTGTACAACCTGTCTTATCTATATTCAAAATATACTTTGCGGTAAAGCCGTTATATTAGTACCGAAATGTAGCTTTGAACTAGGGATGTACCGGATTTCCATAAATGTAGTTAATAAATATAGTCCGCCATTTATAAATATAGTCCGCCATTATGAGGGGTTTGGCGATGCGACATTTTTGTCTTCTTGCGACCATTTGTATATTTTATGAAAATTATTTCTAGGCGAATTCAAAAAATAAAAATCAGGGTAAAATAGAGAGAAATTAAATTATAAAAGAGTTTTACGTCTATACCAATCCACTGATAAAATCTCTTACAAGATATCATTGCTAATTCTCGTTAAAAAAAAGGCGGAAATAAGTTATATAGTTCTTAGGGCTAATTATAAAATGTTCATAAAAGTTTTTTTATGAACCTAAAAAGTGTTATAATTCCTAAAAATGCTTCAAAATTGTCTGTTGTTATTCAAAACTTGAATATCTTATTTACACTTAAATCTTATTGGAAACGAATTAAGGAAACATAAATTATTATTTTACAAGTATGCTAATTTCCTCTTAACACTTTTATATAAATAGTATTTTAAAATGTATTTACTTTATTTAAGAAAAGAAAAGCTAAATAATACTTGTTAAAAAATTTAATCCGCCATTTATGAAAAGAGCAAAAGCAGCTTCACTTTTCGGATCGAAGTTAGAAATCTAGTTTATATAATATATCATTGTATCAAGCTAATGTTTATGCGCTGAGTTAGCAGAACCTGTGTCTCGTTAACGCCGTTTTTCGCAAGACGAAATATTCACGCGAAGCAAATTTTTTCGCTATGACGAAACGCTGTTTTGATTTCCACTTACCTTCTTTTGCGCTACTGTTTTTTAGGTGTCAACAATAAAAATGGCAGCAATAAACTTATGCTGTATGTTCAATTTTTAAAAAACTTAACTACTTAGATAAGTTTTTATATAATTTAATCAAGTCAATACATCTGTTATAGTATACTATAACAGATGTTTTAACTTGATTAAATTATATAAAAACTTATCTAAGTTGTTAACTATTTTAAAAATACTGTATTTTAATATAAAGAATTTTATAAGGATAAGTTTACATATATGTAAACTTATCCTTATAAAATTCTTTATATTAAAATACAGTATTTCTAGGGGTTACATATACCCTCGTTATTCAAGTAATATAAAAAACCGTTAAAAAACAAACAAATAATAAAACTTCAAGATAATGTGTTCTTGCGTCTTCTTATTTAAAATTAGGTTTTGGAAATCTTATTTTAAATAGGAAAAGTAAGGTTTTGGAAACCTTTTTTTTTTTTTATCAAAGACGCAAGAACACATTACATTGAAGTTTTATTATTTGTTTGTTTTTTAACGGTTTTTTATATTACTTGAACAACGAGGTTATATATAACCCTTAGAAATATTGTATTTTAATACAGGACCGACGACACGGGTTTTAAAGTGTGTGTGTGTGTGGGGGGGGGGGAGGGCTTAATTGTAAAATTCTAAAAAAAGTCTTCTACACTAAAATTTTCTCAACAAAAAAAGGTCTTTCAGAAAAAAAGTGGGGAGGGGGAGAGGGGAAAAGCTCCATCCCGGCCTCCCCGTGTCGTTGGCCCTGTAATATAAAGAATTTTATAAGGATAAGTTTACATACTATAACACAATTTCCTCATGCTTCAAAGTGTACTTTGAAGTCCGTTAGAGTACACCAAATGATACTGCCTGTTAAAACTCATCCCTATTTTTTCTATTCAATAATTATTTTACATATTATCTATATTTAAATTTGAGGTCTTAAATTCAAGTTTTGCAAACTCAAGAGTAAACTCGATGTCCGTAAACACTCTTTCTCGTTGTATGAACTTGAAAGTTTGAACTGGTTGAAATTAAATATGTTGTTACCACTGTAGACGGCTAGCATATTTAACTAAAGAAAATCATCTGCTAAAAACAGAATGTATTTAAGCAGTTATGACTTAAGTACTAAAAAATAACAATAATTCAATTTGAGAACTTTCTTTAAATAAAATTATAAATAGTTAAATGATTGAATTATCTCATCATAGATGTCGAAGTGTGGAATCAAAGATTGGTCTGTTTAACTTTTACTTTAACCCAGTCACCAGCATAGTATCCGCTGTAATTATCTGGACTTTTGTTGGTTACTGCATTTTTAAATCTCAATACATTGTTATCTCAAAATTTTTGATCGGGTACACCCCTAGTTTAGGCTGTGATCTAAAGTAATTTATTGCTTGGTTTACTTTATTAAAACAAAGTCAAAAGGTTGCACTAAATGATTGAATTATTAGTCAGTTTATGTTTGTCAACTTATACTATCTTTAAAAGAACTATATGCTAACTGATTACCTTTTCCAGTTTATTCTAATAACATTTTTTACAAACTTTATCAAAACATTAAAAAAAAATTTAGTGTTTTAAGTAGTTATCAAATCTATAAAACATAAAAATCTAGACTTTTAACAACTTTCAATTACAATACTTAACATCTTCAATTTGAAAAACTTTGACTTCTTATGGACACATTGGATGCAAGTTTGATGTTGCAATACGTTTTCTGGTATTCCAATCTATGACAATAAGTTTATCGTACGAAATGTAAGCATATTTACCATATAATAATTACATGACTAATGTTAATGCTACCAACTAATAATAACAATATTTAATTAAAAGATTTTAATATTAGTTGTTAGCATTAAGCACAAAAATATAAAATATTAAAGAATTAAAAATTTCAATTCTTTATTTTTATGTCAATTTGTTTCCGGCTTCATAATTCGGCATTTTAATTAAGAATTGTAATTATACCGATAAACAAAACTTTATAAAAAGCATAACAGAAGATTAAAAAATTACAACAATCTTCAATTATACAATTTAACTTAATTATCACAATTTATTTTATCAAACAACAAAATAGGATTTAAGGAACAAATTGTTCCTTAAATCATCTAAATTCGTTTGTAATACAGACTTTCCTCGATGGTGTTATGAATGGTGTTAATAGTTCATAATATGTCTGGTTTTAAATAGACTTTTTTTTTTAGGTTTTTACATAAATTTTATTATTGCTAATTTCTTATAGGCTTTATTATAATGGGTATTTAATAGGTTCTATAATGGAAGGATTTTGGATGAACGGCAACTTAAATGGTACAGGACGCATTGTACATAAAAGTTATCGCTTTTGTGGAGTTTTTGTTAATGGAAAACAAGTAGGAAATGGAAGGTTTAAATATTACTTTTTAGTTGTCTAAATTAAATTTTTGTTATATATTACTAATTATTTCATTAACTTATTTGTATGTGTCTGTGCGTATATACGTGTGTGTCTGTGTGCGTTTATATAGAGGTTGCTCAAGATTCTTGAATATTGGGTAAGTCCATAATATTATTATAGCATTTCTTCAAAAGTATGTCAACATGGACCTCAAAAAAATCGTATATAAATTTTTAAAACAATAATCATCTTATACACAGGCTATTATATTAAATTTTATTGCAGAAAAACAATGTTTTTTGGAACTGTTAAAATTATTAAATATAAATAGCTTTTAAAATTTATTATAAAATTATAACTTTGCTTTTTTTAAAACCCAAGAAATCTTTTTAAAAATATTGAGGCATCATAGTTACAGAAACTCAAATTCATATAACATTTATTTTAATTTTTAGTTATTTCTTTGATAATGGTTTGGAGCAGCAAGGCTATTTTCGAAAAATAAATAAAGATCAAGTTGAAAATAAATGCAACCAGTCAGAACTTGAATGGAGTCCAACAAAACTTATTCAACTAAAAAAAATTTAAACAATTAACACAAAAGTTGAAAGAAGTAATTTTTAAATATGCATCTGTTAAGCATGAAAAAACTTAGTTATGATGAATGCTTATGTAAAAATTTAAAATAATATATATATATATATATATATATATATATATATATATATATATATATATATATATATATATATATATATATATATATATATATATATATATATATATATATATATATATATATAAGTAGTTATAAAAAAATGCGTGAATTTTAACCTGCTTCTTTACGTGACATCTAACACAAGCGACTGCAATTCACCAATCTTAAACAATAGAACAGTGAGTGATAGAGTAAAAATGAAATTAGAAATAGGTTCAATGTCAAATATGGGTATAGTAAATTAAATAAAATTTGAAATATTCCATTTGAATTATTGGTGAATTCGAACTACATCGGAAAGCGTTACTTAGAAAAAAGTTGCAAACAAACAAAAGTTGCTCTTTAAGATGTTGAAGGAAGGTCAAATTTTCATAGTTTTTTTACTATTTTCATATTGAAGCAACTTTTTGTAACAGTATCAATAAATTGTTACAGTTACAAAAAGTTACAGGATAAATGGCAAGACATTTTTCACCTTTCTGAATTTTTGAAAAGATTAGTATATATTTTTAGAACAATTTAGAAATAATCATTATGATATTATCATGTTAGAATGCAAACAAAAAACGGCTTAAAATTGGTTCAAAACCCAAAATGAAAAATTAATGCAAAAGAAAGATAATACCTAAAAAAACAGGAGAGGGAACTCTTTTTTTAAATCAAGATGAACAAAAAACATTTTTTTTTTGAAGTTGTTGACAATATTATATTCCAACAAGATGACCGATTTAATATCATTGATTTTTGATTTTTTTAAATGGAAAAACCTTAGCAACTATACCATTCGTAGATTTGAAAAAAAAAACTACAGCTGTTAGTTGCATTGTATATTGTGAATTGAATTCAACACAATTATTTTAATTATTTTAATGAATTTAAATCTTCAAAATGTTTTGAAACTTCTTAAATTCTAAACCTCATTTAAATATTTAAATATATATTACATATTGTATTGAATATGTATTCGTATATGTACCGATTTGTAAGTTTTTTTTTTTCTGATTTATAAACTTTGTAATTTTTTAATTTTTTTCAAACTTTTTAATTTCACACTTTTGCCTACAAAAGAGTTTATTTCATAAGAGTTTAATTAATTTAATTCTAATTCAGAGTCTACTTCATTAAAATTTTCTAGTTAGTTTTATTTCGCCAATATAAACACATTTTACAGTGTTACCCTTAAGTTCTAATAAATATATATATAATTACAATCTGACTGGGACAAGTAAAAAAACAGTCTTATCATCCGTTCGTGAAATAGAGAAAAAGTTTACAAGTTCTAGTATTATATATAATATTAACTCTCTCAAATTCTGAAACTGATTTTATTGATTCATTGGTTAAGATCCAACTGAGTTGTTTACTACACACGTGAAATATTTATAATGGGAGCTATTCCGCTGATAAATCTTCCAACTAGGGTAACACGAAACTCATCAACTCTTATTGATAATATTGTTACAACAGACATTTTCAATTACAGCATTCAAACAGGTATTGTATAATCTGATTTATCAGACCATTTTTCTATTTTCTTAACATTTAATGCCGGATCAAAACATACTTTAACAACAAATAAAATTACTAGAAAGCGTTACTTTACGTTAAATTACTAGAAAGCGTTTATTTTTAACGCAAACAACATTTATAATAAATTCTTTGAAACTTTCTACTCAGTGTATGAAGCAAACTTTCCAGTTTCCGAAAAAAGAATAAATACTAAAACATCAAATAGTCCCTGCATTACAAAAGGACTAAAGAAATCATCTAGAACAAAACAAAAATTATATATAAAATATCTAAAAACAAAATCTCCTGCAAAAATAAGAGTTATAAAAAGATCTTTAAGAAGACTCGAAAAAAGTTGAAAAAAATCTATTATTCAAATTTTATCAAAAAATTTCAAAACGACTCAAATCGCACTTGGAATCTAATAAAAGAATTAACTGGAAAATTAAATATATGTTCAAACTCCGTGACAACCACTATTAATTTTGAAGACAAAATTATTTCCAAACCTAATGAAATTGCAAAAAAATTTAATAATTTCTTCACAGAAATTGGAATAAAACTTTCAAACAAAATTCCAACTACTGATAACTCATTTATATACTTTTTATCCACTAGGCACGATCTAAATACTAACAATGAATTATTGAATGAACTAACTCCCGAGGAGTTTGACTTAGCTTTTAAATCTCTTAAAAGAAATAAAGCTACTGTCTTCGACGAAATAAATAGTAACATAATTATAGATTGTTAAGAAAACCTAAAATATATACTTTTCAAAATTTTTAAAGCATCTTTAAAACAAGAGATTATTCCGGACAAATTGAAAATTGCAAAGGTTATTCCAATCTACAAAAATGGTAACAAAAAAGATGTGTGCAACTATTGCCCCATTTCAATTCTTCCAGCTTTTTCAAAAATCTTAGAAAAAATAATTTATAATGGACATATAAATATCTTAATGATTATAAACTGTTAAATATTACATGGAAAACTCATATTGACTACATTAGCAATAAAGTTGCTAAAAGTATTGGCATATCTATTTAAGATCAGATTTTATTTAGATAAAAAGAGTTTAATGCAACTCTACTACTCCTTTATACATAGTTATATTAACTATGCCAATATTGCTTGGGGAAGCACAAGCAAAAGTAAATTGCAATTTTTATATCGTCGTTAGAAACACGCGTTTAATATATTTTAAAAATCATTTAACGCATTCAAATATTTTATTTAAAGATGCGAATGTCTTTAATGTATATCAACTCAACATTTATAAAATTTTGAGTTTTTGTTTTAATCTAAAGTTTCAATGTAAAGATGACTCAGCACTATCTATTTCTATCAAAAAAATAAACAAATATATTTAGCGAAATGATAATTTTTTAAATGAACCACTTTGTCGTACAAAGTTTAATCAATTCTGTATTGGATATCGTGCACCTTATCTCTGGAACAAAATTGTTTTGAATAATTTTGATTTATTAACTTCATTTGAACTTTTTAATAATAAACTGAAAAAATTTATTTTTTCAATAAAGGATATAATGAATTACTTCTAATATGCAATAACGCACTGTATAATATTTAATTTTTTATTTATTTTTGCTGTTGTTGTTGTTTTTACGCTTTTAAAAGGTTCTGACTACAAGATCAATGAGATCTTCTATCAGAAACCTTGTTTATATTTGTAAAGCTTTTATTTATAAAGTTATTTATATAATTGTATTACGATTTATATAATTGTAAACTGTAACACCATATAAACATAAAAAAACAAAAAAAAAACTTAAACTAAACAAAACTTAATTTTCAAATCCAATAACAATTAAAGAATAACATAAAAGTTAATTAACATAAATTGGCAATTCTTTAAACTATATTTAAACACTGTTTAAGATGTTTGATCCATACCTAACGTTTCACTATATCTTAAAGAATTCTGGAGAAGCTGAAAGTGTATTGTGGAACTTCAAAATTTTACTAAACACCTTGAAAATCATAGAGATAACAGGTCTTCCATCTAATATCCATATACGGTAGATTATATACTGTGTTTAAAAGACTTTGATTATAATACTTTTTATTATTATAACAGCCTAGCTAATTTTATTACTTATTGTAATAGCCTAGCTTATAACTATTTTATTACTTATAACTCTTGTCACAAATAAATCACTATAAAAATAACTACCTATTATTAAATCTGGCATACCTACATCAGTATTTGTACTTGTGTTGAGTTCATTAAAAGGTTTTTCTAATAATACTCTGTTTTTGTCTTTAGGATTCCTAAACTAGTAAAACTTTGTTTCATAATATCTGTTGAACTTTTTTTATGTTGCAGTATGTGCAAAATAATGTTTTTCTATCTTGACAAACCTTTTTTTTTAAGAGTGAGTTTTCAGGCTTGATCAAAGTCACTAAACGTGTTTTAACTTGTACTAAAAATAAACATTTCAAAAATCAATTAGCAAAATTTAAAATATCTATTTCCTAAAATTATGTATGAAGTTTGTATACATGGCTATGTACAGGGTTCGGTGGTACTGAGCATTCTTCAATTCGGGTACCCCTACTTCCCCCCCCCCCCCAACCAAAAAGAAAGCCTGCGTAAATTTTTTGATTTACGTAGCCCAGTTTTTGTTTCTTACAAACTATTTAAGCACATTGTAGAAGATTTCTTGCTAACAATAAAAACAGCAAGATCACTGGTTTGTTCTTGAAGTATGATTGGGCGCGAATTCTAGATGAGCTTCAATTTACTGAAAGAACGCTTGAGCGTTCACTTGAGCGTTCTTTCAGTATTTTTTTAACAATTTTGAACTTTTGAATTTTTTCAACAAGCTGAATTGGGCAAGAGGTTTCACTTCAGAGTTAGCAGCATAAATATTTTTTATCTGAAGCACTTCGTCTATAAGTTAATTTTCAGACCAGTCAGATAAATATTTCTGAAAAATGGGAGTATGGCTGAAAAATGGGAGTAAAATGGCTTCAGACAGTGGCTTCTCTACTTCAGACAGTTTTTGTTAATCCCACAAAAAGAGAATACCAAAGATTTCCTAAATGGCTTTGAAACGAGCAATGAGTCCACCAATCACAGAATCAAAAAAGTGATAAACCACATTTAATTTGCTCCCAAATTAAATTCGACAAAGTTTTATTTATTTTTGAAAAACTATTGCGCTTCACTTTTGGTGGATTGGAAATCCAGAACTGATCTTTGCATTATCTCCGGTTTCTTCCGAAATTATTTTCCCAAACAGATTTGATGTGACTGATCAAAGCTTCAATATTTTTTACCTTCAAATCAAAAGTTGCCTTTATTGCCTGAATTACCTAATTGCCACATTCACCAAGAAAAAGTATCACATCTAAGATTTGTTCAAAGATTCTTGTTTGGTTTCAGGTGGGTGCTTCATTAAGGATTTAGTGATATACAAAATGTTTAGTTGACTGATCAGTTTTCATTAGAATTTTTAATTCACGCCTCTGAATGTAGCATTATTTATGGGCTTATGAATGTTTATGCTTAGGAACTTGACTAATGAGATTTTTTTACTTATTTCCATATCTCCATCGACCTATAGTAGCAAGAGATAAAGGTGGAAATCGATTTCCACCTAAAAATATTCTACATGGAAAGCAAAATGCTTTTATCTTTGCTGGGCTAAATACAAGCAAACTTCCAAGAAAGATTTTTAATTTAGCATTTTTTTTTTAAAACAGACATTAGAAATGATTTTTCAGTCTCTTTTGACATATCAAGTGGAATGTAGATGTGACCAGCCCTCAGAGTCATTAATGTCAAATAACTGCAACAACACTGCTCCAAAATTGCTAGTGGTCTTTGTAGAAGTATTTTCACTCTCACCAGTTTGACTGTCTTCAAATCTGGCTAGTATATTTGTACTGTCACTAGAAGATTGTATTTTAGCGTCATCTTCTTGTAATTTTAACATCAAATAAAGTTTGTCTTCCTTTTTGCAGAGCCGCTTCTTTTACTTTGCTGATTTTTAATTTCAATGCTCCTAATGGATACGTGCGTTTCATTTTCATTATTTCCATGAGCTTTTATTTTATTTATATTACTTACAATATTACTAGCTACTTATCGAAGCTTTTTAGGAAAAGATTTTGTTAAAAAGCAAATGTAATTAACGCTCTTTTAATTTTTAATTTGTTAAAAAGCAAATTAAAAAACGCTCTAATGTAATTAACATAGAGTAGCTATTTTTTATCACCTGAAATAACATTGCCTATCCAACATATAGTGCCTTTTTTGGATAGCAAAAAAGTATAAATGACTAAACGCTGACTTTGCTGGTTTGAAGTTAAATCATGAGTAATACAAACTCTTTGTTTTACTACCAAGCTGAACAACAACCAAGCAATCAAGATGACGCAAAATACTAGTATGGCAACACCCAAATACGACCAGAGTACAGTTTGCCATGGTTCGCTCTTAATTAGCTCTTCAATTAACACAGATTTCATCAAATCATTTGGACTAATTTAATGCTGTAGCATGTGAAATGAGACTGGCTATTGCACTACTAATATTTTTTGTGGCTTCTTTAGCAGAATGACCCTATTGAAATATATGTATGTTGTGCAAGTGCATTTATATAAATGTGCCTAAGATTTAAATGTAGATTAATAAGTCGCAAAAAAGATTTTAAAAAGTGTTTAATTATTTTTGTTTACACCCAATAATTAAAACTTTAATAATTAAAACTTCAATAATTAACACTTTAATATTTAAAACTTTAATATTTAAAACTTTAATATTTAAAACTTTAATATTTAAAACTTTAATAATTAAAACTTTAATAATTAAAACTTTAATATTTAAAACTTTAATATTTAAAACTTTAATAATTAAAACTTCAATATTTAAAACTTCAATATTTAAAACTTTAATAATTAAAACTTCAATAATTAAAACTTCATTAATTAAAACTTTAATAATTAAAACTTTAATAATTAAAACTTTAATAATTAAAACTTCAATAATTAAAACTTTAATAATTAAAACTTTAATAATTAAAACTTCAATAATTAAAACTTTAATAATTAAAACTTTAATAATTAAAACTTCAATAATTAAAACTTTAATAATTAAAACTTTAATAATTAAAACTTCAATAGTTAAAACTTTAATAATTAAAACTTTAATTATTAAGTGTTAGCAAAAATATTTAAGAAATATTTTTATGTGCTTTTTTTTGTACACTTTTTATGTACAATTTTTTGTACAATTTTATGTACACTTTGGCACAAATTAGAGTTTTCTCTAGAGCATTTTAAAATGCTCTAGAGGAAACATAATGTGTTGCCATTTATGAAAAGTTTTTGTTTAATTTTATTTTTAAATTGGTTAAAAAAAGAAATTTACGTTCCATATTTTAGGTCCTCTGTTTGCAATTAAGAACTTACGAACAAAATAATAGATTTTTGGTTGAATATAAATATCTAAACTAAACAAAGGTGGGTGCTGTTAAATCAACTTTTAGAATAAAAATAAGCACCAATCACTAAAAAATAGAAAATAAAGCAATCTACAGGGCAAAATCAGGAAATGACACTTTTTGAAAGTTTTTTACTAATTTATTGTGCAAATTATAGGCTACTTTCTGTATTAAATTTGAACAAATTTTAGGGTTCAGTTTAGCGTAAATTAGACTTTAATAAGAGTTAAGAAAGACTTTGAAAATTGATTTTGTTTTTTTCTCAGTTTGTGAAATAATGACATTTTCTGTTATTCTCCTGATCCCCTCACTTACGATTATCCTTAAAGAATGTTTTTATTTACTTAGTTGTTGATTTATTTCTGTTTGCATCTTCATTTTTTCCATCAAAATTGATTGACGGCTAGTTTTGTCTAAGTGTTTTCATATGATTAATAACTGTGTCTTAATATGACCTATAACTTTAATGTTATCACAGAGAACACTCTACAGTATTTTATTTAACTTTTTCTGTTTTTATAATTTATAACTTATGATTGATATCTTGTGTTAAACTCAAAGTTATGTTTTAAATAAATCAAGATTTATACACGTATACTCAGGTTACCCTGCTACTGGTAAAATGTAAACCAGTGCAGCCTATTTCATGTCCTGCTGCCTTGTAGAGACAAAGTTTCCCGAACTCTGTGGTAGCTCTCAAAGAGGCTGATTCCACCAACAGCTGTAAAAAATAAGAGTATTAACAGTGCCATGTTACGTATGGTGTCCCTGTTCTTTCTTTTGGTGCGCATTGTCGAGATTACATTTGGAACTCTTTGTTACGTCTTTAGGCTTATCAATAGTAATGAGGCAATTGTTAGGACTATTAAATAGTGTACTGAGTACTATCTGTTCTCCAAATCTATTATTAACTAATATTTGTGGTCTTCGAAATAACTTTTTTTTATTGATCAACAAAAAAAAAAAAAAAAAAAAAAAATTCTATAAATACTAAAACGGGCACTACTCTGAAAGAGCTAGCTTCTCCTGAGCCATCTACTAAAATTCCTTCTCGTGTGACTCGTCATTCAATTAAGTTTCATCGTTTTATTGTGACTGTTCCTAAGTGCTCCAAAAATTCTTATTTGTCTAATTTTTTCCCTCAAACACCAGTTCTTTGGAATTCGTTCCCTTTATCTTGTTTTCCTGATTCATATAATTTGCAATGATTTAAGTTGTCTGTTAATTTTGATCTTGCTCTATAAATTTTACATTTTCTCTTTCAGTAACTTCCTTCTAATCGTGATTGCTTGCAGCCTTGTTGGAAGTGAAGATGTTTTGAAAAAGAAAAAATTATTGCTTGGATACCAGCGCTTGGCGATAAACCATCTGTATTCATATTAAAATAATTATTGTATTTATATATTTATATGGCGAAACATAAAAAAAAAAGAAAAAAAGAATTAATTCGCGGCAATTATACATCTCAACTTTTGTTTAAGTTTAATAATGGAAGTATTAAAGTTCTATGAAGTTCAATGGTTTAATTATCTATTATAGCGCCTTAAATACTCCGAGAATGTCAAATTACTGTAAAGCACAATTTTATATTCTCAATGATTAAAGAGAGATAAAAAAGTGTGCGATTGTTTTGACTGACACACGTTCTTAAAAAAAATATATATTTTAGGTTTCTTAAGAACCAAAAAGTAAGTGGTGAGATAACAAGATTGGAGTTAATTGCGCCTCGTTAAAATGGTATTTTACACCAGTTAGTGAGAACAAAATTCCAGGCAACTAAAAAAAGTTTGCGCGGTTTTGAAGGTTAACATTTAGAAACACAAAAAATGGTTTTAAGTTAATTGCTTTTAATTTGACTTTAACTTAAATAGCTTTTTTTTTTAACAATAGAAAAAGCGTGTGACCGCGCGAAGTGATTGACTTTATGAGATCAGGGGCGGATTCATGATTTTTCTCGTATTTCCCGGTAAGTTCTAAGCTCCAAACTTTGTTATGTTCATACTTACGCCATATGACGGTGTTTTGCCGAAGTGCCTCGCAACAAAAATACTAAAAAATTAAGCAATTTTTGGCATAACATCCTCATAGGAAATAATTATAAACATACAAAAGTTTTGAATTAAAACTTACTGGTAAGTTACTCCACTCAAATACCAAAAAACCTGCGTCGTAAATTTATCAAATAAAGATGATCTCATTTTAAATATAATACTGTATACTTTTTATCTATTTTTACAAAATAAAGTAAAAATATGATTGATTATATATTTTGAAAAAAAAAAAAAAAAAAAAAAAAAAAAAAAAAAAATCAATAAAAAATTTATTTTTTATTTCTGTGTTATATTCAAAGCTTATAACCAAACATATTAAATATGATATAATTGAAAGGCCTCTTCATTCTATGTTGAAAAAATTAAACTAAAAAAATATTATTTGAAAAAAAATGTTAATCCTTTTTAAGTAAAAAAATGATTTTATATTTAAAAAAAAAAGCTAATCCTTTTTAAGTAAAAAAATGATTTTATATTTAAAAAAAAGCATTTACAAATTAATCAAAAACATTTTATTAAAGTAATAATCGTTTATACTCCATTTGTAAAAAAATGAGTTTTATATATATATAAAAAAACAATCTACAAATTTATGACAAATAATAAAAAAATTTTAGAAAATGTCAATAGAAAAACTCAATCTCAATATGTATAAAATACTTTTTATATTATTCTTAAGAATTGAAATTTATTTTACGATACAGCTAGAAACCACAACGCTCTTGAAGAATTGTTTTAGAAACACTAATGACAGAGCAATTTATAGCAGCTGTTGCTATTGGAAGAGAACAAACTCTTTTATATGAATTGTTTGCAACATTATAGCATTCAACAAGTTTAGATTCAGTAACATCAACAAAATCATCATCATCATCTCTTCCTGATCCATACTGATCTGCTCCTTCAACTGACACCATTCCTCCTACAAGTAGTATGCTTTCATTATATGTTGCAATACCCATGTAGGCCCGAGGTAAATATAAATCAGCGATGTTCCTCCATTCATCTGTATTAATGTCAAATACTTCTGCAGAACGATAATAAGACCACATTGCATATTCTCCACCAAAAACAAATATTTTGTTTCCAACACATGCAGCACTTGCACCTGCTCTAGGTGAACTTAAGGAAAAAATTTTAGACCATTCATTCATATATGGATCATAACATTCTACGCTTGCTAAAGCTTCATTACTTGGACCATAGCCACCAATGGCATATATTTTTTTATGAGTTGCTACAGCTAACGCTTTTCGAGGAACCTTTAAATCAGCAAGTTTTATCCACTTTCCAAGATTATTAGAGTAACGTAAAACTTGAGAAACTGATGCTCCATCAATTTCTCCACCTATTAAATGAATTTCCCCATTAAAAACACAAGCAGCATGATTAAATATTGGTTGATGAGTTTTAGAACACTCAAACCACTTATCAGTAGAAAAAGAAAATCTTTCTACACTGTTAATAGCACCATTATCATTTTGCCCTCCTATGCAATAAACTTCATTGTTTAAAACAACAGATGAACTTTGATATCGATTAAATAAAAGTGGAACAAGTGGGTACCAAAAATCTTTTTCAGGAACATAACAAAGAACCTCATTAGTACTAATTCTATCTTGATTTCCACTAAATGCAACTATAATTGAAGTTAAATCCGAAGCTTTTCTCGGTTCATGTTTTACTGCATTACAAAATATGTTTTTTCTTTCTGGAAAGTTTAATATATATTTAATTTGATTTAAAAAATCTAAACAAGCATTATCACAAACAATATACTCATTATTTTCAATAACATCTGACACAAAATATTTAGATGTTTGCAATAAGCGAACAGATTGTAAAAGTTCAGAAAGATATTGCGCTCTTTCTTTAACATCATAGAAAAACCATTCCATTGCTGAAAAATAAACATCTTCTTCACATTTTACAGCTATCTCATCAGAAGAAAGAATTCTAAGAACTTGTTTAAAGGTAAGTGTCTTGAACTCTTGATATTTGCAAACATCCATAAAATGAAAAAATATAAACTTATCAGCTGCTTCCCTCAGAGATTCACAGTTAAATTTCTCAGCTAAAGATGCAATTGATAAACAATTCGACGGACACAACCTTCTTTCATAAAATCTACACACTATTTCCTTGAGATTAGACATTCTCAAGATGTCAGAAGCAGCAATAAGTTGAATTACATTCTGTTCACTAACACAAATTTCTCCCAAATAAATAAAGTTTAAAATATCTTCTATTACCTCAGAACTGATATTTGATATGTCAACTCGAGAACCTAGAGTTGGTTGAGAATTCGGATTTGATGTAAAAATCTCCAAAAAAAAAGGACTTGCAGAACACAAGACATTTCGATGTGCAAAGTACTCTTTAGGAGGAGAAAATAAAACAACGTCACACATAAATTTTTTTTTTCTGAATTCAAATAGACACAAAGCTAGCTTTTTAGAATGGTTAGAATCAACTTGAAATTCGCCTTTTACATCAGAATCCATTTTGTTCAGGCTGGGTGCTGTAAACTTTCCACAAATACGATAAACAAGATATGGATCTATTACATTTTACAGAACACTAATATAAAAGTTAACACTAATATTTTTTTGTTTAAATATTATTTTTTTTTAATTTTAAATTTAAAATGAAAGGTAATTATAGAAACAAAAAAAATAAACCGCTTTTTCACTATGAAGAAAGTAAATTTAACTAATTGAAAAAATATATAAAGATAAGACTGACTAAGAAAACGCCGAATAATAATAACGAAAAAATTATTACGAAATTAATTACCATGGATACGACGCAAGATAGTTTTGCTTCTTTAAATAATGGCGGCTTCTAAACATGTGATCCAAAGAGTTTAAAAAAAAAAATGGTGTATTCGCCTAAAAGGCACGTTGAATCCATAAAACAGCTTATAATTATTGCATTCTCAAATAAGAATTCAATTATTAAAAAACTTGGTTTAACACCCCAAGGTAAATAAAATTTCAGTTTTTAACGTACTCTAAATTATTAATTTTACATTATTATCACTAATTAATTACATTGAGGATATATAATTATATAAGTAAATATTATTAATCATGATTTTAAATTTAATAAAATTGTGTTGGTTGGGTTTAAAATAATTCAAATTATTTTTGCAGACACAACATACTTTTTTAGAGTATTTGCAGACACAACATACGTTTTTAGAGTACATTATCGGAGTTGCTTTTTGACAGTTTTTTTTTACTCTCAGAGTAAATGAAAAACTCTCAAAAAATAGTGTAATTGTTAGTAGTTTTTTACACAGTCTCAGACTGTGTGAAAAAGTGACTGTGTCACTGACACATTTTTAAAACTTGTTTTTGATTAAAATTGAGGCTACGTTCTTCTATGTAATAAAGGGTAATAACTCCAGATATTGTAAGCTGATGTATTATTTTCTAGTATTTGTTTTATTTAGTGCACTTTTGAACTAAAATAAAATGCTAAAAATGTATGGACTTGTCAAGATAATCATTAACATTACTTATATAAAACTAACTTTATCTGTGAAGCTTCCATAATTATTAAATGAATTTTATATATAGTTTAAGAAATGAAAAAGAACAGCTCATAAATATTTTATTAGTATTTTGGTATGCATTAGTTTTCTATTAACTGTTTTTAGATTATTTTATTACTTACACATAAAGTAAATGTATACAAAGTCTTAGTTAAAGTCATTTTTAGAAAAAATTAATTGCACATTTGTGCACCCAAACTTATTGATGTGCATGAATATTATTCTAGTAGCTATTTTCTTTTATCAGTTTGCAATATTTTTTATAGGATGAATACTATAATTATAATATATAGATAACGTGTTAATGGTGCATTACATCTTTTTTCAAAATAGAATCATTAAAATAAATGAATTTAATATGACATGTTGCATGATATGTTAGTCACACAATTGAAGATCAAGGGAGCTAGAGGGGGTTATAGCCCCGGGCCCCGCAAATTTAGGGGCCCCTAAAAATTTTAAAGGAATTTTTTTTTTTATTAGTCATTTTTAGGCTCTGGCCCATAAAAATGCCTCCAATTTCATATAAAACAGCTATCATCTTTTCTTTCACCATCTCTATCACATTTCTGCATAAGCCATGCATATATATATATATATATATATATATATATATATATATATATATATATATATATATATATATATATATATATATATATATATATATATATATATATATATATATATATATATATATATATATATATATATATATATATATATATATATATATATCAACCCTCAGAATTAGGGTGGGCATTCGGCAATGTCGACCTTAAAGTGTTTGAGGTTAGCAAAAAATTGTCGACCTCTAACAGTTTGAGGTTGGCAATTTGCTGACTGTTTTTTTTCTAATTGCAAGGGTTGAAATATATATATATATATATATATATATATATATATATATATATATATATATATATATATATATATATATATATATATATATATATATATATATATATATATACAGGGGCTATTCTAGACAGTTTTTGACAGCATTGACCATATTTGAGTTGATGCTGTTAAAAATGGCCCAAATTAAAATTTGAGGACCTTTTTTTTTTATATATTTTTTACGGCAAATATTGTTACTTATGCAAAAAAAACACCAATTTTCCGGAAAGCTCGTTTTTCCTAAAATATGCCCTGATATATATATATATATATATATATATATATATATATATATATATATATATATATATATATTATATATATATATATATATATATATATATATATATATATATATATATATATATATATATATATATATATATATATATGTATGTATGTATATGTAAAGAGAGAGTTAGTACACATCCATATCTTTATATATAATTTATATGTAGATGCAGTATAGTTTTAATTTAAATGTCGATGTAATATATTTTGAAAAAAAAAAGTCTTATTATTTATGCACATATATATATTATATATATATATATATATATATATATATATATATATATATATATATATATATATATATATATATATATATATTAAAGTTAAAAATGTTCAAAATAAACTGCTACTGTACCAAAATATGCAGTAGTACATCTAAAGTGTGTAAATGAAGCCACATAAGCTGTAGTAGATGAAGCCAAAAGTGATCAGAAGATTCATAATTAAAATAAAATTTAAAAAAAAACATGATTATCAAAAAATGTTAGTTATGTTTATTCTTAATCTAATGTTAATTTATTTTTAACACAAATAATACCTAATCTTTATGTCTATTAATTATACATATATTTTTGTGATTTTTTATTTTAATATATGGTTTTTAGAGGTGTTTGAAATATGGGATAACGTGTCACAGTTTGTTGAACATCATTTGGAGAATAAAAAGGTAAAAAAAAATTTATGAATAGTTTTTAGAATTATTAATAAATATAAATTAAATGATATATATATATATATATATATATATATATATATATATATATATATATATATATATATATATATATATATATATATATATATATATATATATATATATATATATATGTATATATATATATATATATATATATATATATATATATATATATATATATATATATATATATATATATATATATATATATATATTTATTACAAATGAATACATTTTATAGGCTGTAAAAATACCTGGTTTGGGAGTGTTTACTTTTACTTCAGTCAAACTTGATGTATCACAAAAAAAATTTATTCTTATACAAAAGCCTGTATTTGTTATATCCGAAAAATTTGCTCAAAACCACAAGTTGTCACAAGTAAAATACTCTATACCAGGTTTGAATATATTTTTTAGTTATTTATTTATAAAATTCAACTTTAGAGTTTATTATTTTACTCTTAGGTGTGTAATTTAAAAAATATCTCGTTCTTTATTTTTGCTAAATACTATAAAGTTCAGAGGTAATGAGGCCTAGAGCTGCTTAAACTTCCTGTTCAAGTAATTAAGAAGTTAATTAAAAAAAAAACAGTTGAATATAAAAAGCAACATAAAATAATTAAAAAAAAAATTATATAAAAAAAATAACATTAAATTTTCATTCTAAAATATCAAGGCTGTAGAAACCAAAATAAACTTTTTAATTTATATTAAAATATTGGGCAAAGATAATTCACAATTACCATTTTGTGCTCAAGTAGTTGATTTATTAAAAATAATCTAGTTAATGGCAAATTTAGTAATCATCTGATGAGTAAACATATAAAATCAGCAGATACAAACTTTAACATTTATTATTGTTATGGATTCTAATTTTTTAGATTTTAGATATTAAACCTGCTCGGCACAATCTTAGCAGCTGAAGTCATTGAGTTAATTGGTGAAAGGATTGATTTGTTTTCAATTTAAGGATATTGTTGCTTCACTTACTGATGGAACTAGCTTGATAAATAAATTTGCCATGTCAAAGATTCATTAAATTTGCTATTGTCATGCTATTTATTTATTTGTAATTGATTTAAAAAAAACAACCCTTATACAATACCAAATAATATTATTGCCAATCAAGCTGATAATATCATTAAAGTTAAATTCGATGTTTGAAATTTGCTAACTATAGTTCAAAACTTGCCAACTTGAGTGCTGAATGTACTAATGTGCTAACTCAAATGCATATATAACAGCTTGGGGGGGGGACACCCCTACATCTCCGTACAGGATAGTCCTGCTTGAGATTTGTGGAAGCTCAAAGGTGTTTCAAGATCTAGGATATTTGCGACAAAAATAAGAGGCATTTTAAATGATTTTAATGTATTGAATATTATGTGCTATATTCATTCAAATAAAAAGGTATTTGTCAAACTTAAAATTAATAAATATTCTATTGTTAAATAAACATATTTTTTAGATTAATTGTGCTTTGGTTGAATAATCAAAGTACAGTTAATTAACTTGTACATTCTGAAAATATAAGTAAATATATGATAAATATTAGTTCTTACTTAGCACTGGATAAATAGCAAGAGGAGTATTTTAAACAGGATACAAACATTGAAGAAAATATAAATCTTTGTTTTTCTGGGTGTCAACAATAGTACTAATTGACTGGGTGTCAACTAGCTATTTGTTGTATCTATGCTCTAAAAAAAATATGCATTTCCCAACTTTTGGTCAAAATCTGGTATGCTGTAAAAAAACTAAGAAATTCACATATGCTTAACAAGGAAGCAAAAAAAAAAAAAGAATGTTCAAATTTTGGATGATAAGACATTCTAGGTATTATTAATTTTGGGTTTACTTTGTAAACAATTCCCTACTGTTGATTATATATTTTTTCTGTTCCCTGCAATATGGGATAAAAAAAAACCACATGTTAATTTTCAAGAAATCAACATGAGGAATTTTAAAGGAATAATCAAAATAAAAAACTGATTTAAAGAAGAATTAAAGACCAATGGCAAAAGAAACCACAAAATCATGTAGAAATGAGAGGAAGAGCTGATAATGATATACTTTTAGCTACAGTTTATGTTTTAATTTAATTAACTACCTGAAGCTGATGCCAGAGGGGCCACTACAGTCAAGGAGATGACTAATTCTCTTGTTTATATAATTGTTATTAAAACTCTTTTTCAACTCTTTAACTTCAAAACAAACTTGCCTTGGCAAATTGTGCAGAGAAACAAGTTGAGTGCAATACTTTAAGGGACATGATGGGGCTTGGAACTTCTTCCTTACAACATCAGCACTCTATCTCTGCACCTGGTAATTAATGTTTATGTTAGATTAATTACTCGTCAACTAGGGTGGTTTTAAAAACAGCATATGTGTATATAATAAGCTGGATTTAAAAAATGCTGGATTTAAAAAAATTTTGAATAAAAAGTATTTTAAGGGGTTGCTACCGACTCTCGAACATTAAATAAGTCCATAATATTATTAAAGAAAAAGGTTTTCAAAAGTATGTCATGTTGGGTTTCAAACGAAACAAAATTATATAAAAATTTCAAAAATATATATATTTTTAAGTTGTTTTTAGAACCACCCTACCGTCAACATTACATTCAGTATTTTGTTACAAAATGATTTAAATATCTAAAGATTTTAAAGTATAGAAAATAATTTTAATTTATAAATAACAACAGAGTAATGAGTTTGCCAAGGTTGTTAGATGGTAGGAATGATGTATAACCGAAATAGGAATTATTTTATAAGTAAAATTAAAATTAGAAATTAAATCAATGATACAAGAATTGAATAAAAACTGTAAAGTAGAATTGGAACTTGAAGATCACAAGTGTATAAAATTAAAAACTATTATTTATTTTAAAAAAATGTTATGATTGAATAATCCATAAAAGTTAAGTGTAAAACATAATCCATGTTATGTTATATGTTCGCCTCAGCTCCGATATGTGATGCTGGAGCTGAGGCGAGCATATAATATGTTTGCCTCAGAACATATAATATGTTTTTTTTATTATGTAACAAAATAAAGATAAATAAAATTTGTTGTTTTGATAATATTTTTTATGTTATAATAAAAGGTTTTTTTTATCTTACATCTTACAGTTTTTATTTTCTATTTAAATAGATCTTCCTATAATAGACATATATTTGAACTCAAGGTTATTGAAATGTGATTTCAAATATTTTTTATTTTTAGGTGATATTCCAGTGATTCCAATAAACTATTCAGCTCTTTCTCACAATTTAAATATTAGTCGGGATGTTGTTGAAGCATCTATAAAAGAAGTTGTAAATGCGTTTGCACATAGTATAGAGTATAATCCTACTTGCCACTTAGGTTTTACAACTCTTGGAAGTATTTTAATACATAACAATTTGGTTAAAATGAAGTTCTTGCCTTGCTTTTTAGAGAAAATTCAACAATCAGTTGGGCTTGCGAATATTTTCTTTAAAGTATCATTTTTCTTTAATTATATATTTATAGCTTTAATTAATGTTTTTAATCTCTATCTTGAATTTTGATTTAGAGACAAACATTGCATAAAGACAAGTTTCCATATCAACTACAAAAGTACAATTTTACTTTTTATTTGTTTATTTTTTGTTGTCCATTTAGCTACTAGATTTTTATGATTTTTTCAATGCCTTTCTTATGTTGTTGTTGAAAAAAAAAATGTTACTATTGTTGGTCTGTAAGTTGTTGAAAAAAAATGTTATTTTTGTTGGTCTGTAAGTTGTTAAAAAAAAAAATGTTATTGTTGTTAATCTGTAAGTTGTAAGTCTGTAAAAAATTGAGAAAATAAGTCTTCAATCTCCCAATTTTCTATAGAACCCTCCCATATATTTGAGCATCTATAAGTTTAATTTAAACTGTTTTATGATTATCATACCGAAAAAAAATTTAACTAATGTTACTAACATTTTAACTAATATAAATAGTTTTTTAATTCTTCTTGATTTATTTCCATTGACTAGGAGTGTCCTGGTTATTATTTTTTTATTATCCGACCGGATATCCAATACCCAGATATTTAAAAATTATTCAACCAGATAATGTAATTCAAATCCTAAAATATATATTTTGTTATGACAAAATATTACAAAGATAAACCTTCAAAATAGAGAATAAGCAGGGGATGTAATAAATTCACTGCATAATTACGCAAAAAAATTTCATTGTTAATTGTATGAAGAGGTTTTTTTTTTTTTTCTTTTTTCAAGTTGATTTAGATACCCCAAGATGTCCTTACGGTCTTATCACAGAGCACTGCGGAAGAGCATTTAATAGGAAGTTCACGCTTTCTTTCAAACTGATTTCGCAAAACTTGCCCAGAGGTGGGATTTGAACTACAGATCTTACATTTCTGAGGCAAGTGCGCTACCACTGCGCCACGGCTGTTACGAATTAACTAGTTTAATTTTATGGAAGTCTCTTTTGTAAACGCTGCTCAAGGAGATAATGTTTTCTTTAATCACTCGATTATAGAAAAAGATAATGGTGTTTTAAATTATTGGAAACATGAAGAGAAGTTTTAACTACTAAAAGAATTAGGACTTAAGTTACTAGGACCATCTGCATCTGCTGTATTTTCGGAAGATTGTTTTCATTATTTATGGGAAAAAGTAATCAAGGCTGCCTCAACTTAATTTCTCCACATTGAGATAAAATAAAGAATAATAAGAAATAAATAAGTGATAAAGTGATGAATTTGTTGCGCATATATAATTTTAGTAGTATTTTAATAATAATAATAATAATAATAATAATAATAATAATAATAATAATAATAATAACAATGTTGAATAGAAACCATAAACATTAGACTATTTAAAAATATAACATTTCTAGATTTCTTTTTATTTTCAAACAACATGAATATGAAATATCTGATATATAAAAAATGGATAAAGTTATTATCTGGCCAGATATCGGATACCAAATAATACTCCTAAAAAAGTAACCAACTTTTTATTACAAGAATGGCAGGAAAATGATATTGTACATTTTTTTAAAAATTTAAAGTTTAGAAATAAACATAAAGCAAAGATTTGTTAATAGTTATAATCAGTCACAAATGTTTATCAAAAGAGTTTCCTAAAAACTCTCTAAACAAGGAAATAAAATCCAACAGTTTCAAAAATAGTTTCATATAGAAGCATAAATTAAAAGTGGGTAGAATATGAATAAAATTATCTGGATAAAGATGCACAATCATAAATAATAACTGAATATATTATATTAAAATATTAAATTTAGTTATTATTAACTGATACATAATATTTATATTAAGATATTATAAGTAATGTAGATATTTAGTAATACGTCTTTTCAAGATGTAGTTAAACAATAAGATGTAATTGGAATTACCACAATTTAGGAAACATAAGAGATAAGGTTACATGTTATTGAAAACATATAAGATGAAGTTGTTAAATGCTGTAATATATTTAGAAAATGAATTTAATTGATATAATTGATCAGGTAGTTTTATTTTAAACCGATAACCCAGATACAATGACAAATTAAATTGAATATAAATTATTCATAAAAAATAACAAGATTAGGATTAAATTTAAACGATTCCATTAAAAATTATTGTTTTTTTTTTTATTTATTTATTTTTATTTGCATTCACTCCCAACAAGGCTGCAAGCAACCACTATTAAGTTGGGAGTTACTAGGAAAAAAAAGAACAGAGTTATAGAGCAAGGAAACAGTTGACAGAAGACTTGAAAAGTTGAAGGTTGCATGAGTCAGGAAAACATGAAGATGGGAGAGAGTTCCAAAGGATTGAAGTGCGGGGAAAAAAACTAGACGAATAGAAGTTTTAAGAGCATGCAGGGACAGATACAGTAAACGAATGAGACTTAGCAAAATGACAAGTAAAACAAGAATGAATTTTAATTGATGGAACTAGAGATGATAACTACTTTAAGCAGTGACCATGATAGTATTTGTAGAAAAGAGAAAAAGATACAACTTTACGACGATGGGAAAGAGGTTCAAGCTTAGCAGATAGTCCAGGTCCATCAACATTTACAATGCGTTTTTGGACCTTGTCAAGAAGAGAAAGTGAATCGTTAGAGGAACCAGCCCAAATATGACAACAGTATTCTATACAGGGACAAATAAAAGATTTGTAGAGGTAGAGAATGGAATCAGAAGAAAGGAAATGGTGAGCACGATAAAGAGAAGCAACCTTAGCAGAAGCTAATTTAGCAATTGATTGTTTATATGGTTTCCATGAAAAGTCAGTAGTAAGCGATAATCCAAGAAGACGTAAAGAGGAGGACTCAGTAAGAGGATTGCCATTCATTAATATAGAAATGTTGACCATATTATGGTAGTTGTTTGCATTAAACAACTGGGTTTTGTTAGAGTTGAAATTCACAAGCCACTGTGAACCCCAATCTATTACTGAAGTAAGATAGGATTCAAGATCAGCTGCTTGTTCTAGGCAATCGAAAAGAGAAGACTTTTTGTCAAGACAGGAGTATAAAGTTGAGTCATCAGCAAATAGAGCTACTTTAGATGAAAGGTTGTCAGGGAGATCGTTTATGTAGATAAGAAAAAAACAGGGCCCAGAATGAAACCTTGGGGAACCCCAGAAGTTACTGGAAATAAAGAAGAGTGTTTGCCTTCAAGGATGACTTTTATAAACCGGTTAGAAAGAAATGATTTGATAATCTCAAAAACTTTCCCAGAAACACCATATGAAGCAAGCTTATTGAGAAGACCAGCATGCCAAACTTTGTCGAAAGCTTTAGATATGTTGAGAGCAATAGCCCTAGCCTCATCGCCTCTATCTAATGCACAATAAAATCTTTCAGTTACAGCAGTTAGCAAGTCGGCTGTAGAGCGAGAGGATCGAAAACCGTATTGATTGTTTGACATTAGTTTATTTGACTCAATATGAGATGTGAGGAATTTGTTGATCAAAGACTCAAAGACCTTGCTAATAACAGAAAGAAGACTGATCGGACGATAATTGGAGGGGTCAGAATTTTTGAATATTGGAACCACAGATGCCATTTTCCAACAAGCAGGAAAACAAGACTCAGTCAAACACTTGTAAAATAGTTTAGAGAGAATTGAAGAAAGTTTTGGAGAACAATTCTGCAAGACTGTGACAGGAATGATATCTGGACCACAAGCTGTAGACGAGTTTAATTGAGATATGACTTTAGCAACAGAAGCCAGAGTGATTTGAATGTCTAACAATGGATCAACCTGTTTGACTGGAATGGAAGGAAGAGAATGTCCATAAGATTCAAGAGTGGAATTAGAAGAACAGTTCTTTGCAAATAGTTCTGCCTTATCCTTGGGAGAGGTAAATAGATCAGTCTCATAAATGAGAGATGGAATGTTAGATCTACCCTTGTTAATAATGCTGTTGAAGATTTTCCAAAAGTCTTTAGAGCCTAACTTCTGTGATTAGATGCGAGATTTAGTGAACTGAGAATAATGGAGTATAGCATCAGAAAGCACCTTTTTACATCGATTTCTTGCAATAATAAATAGCCGTTTGTTCTCAAGAGAGTTGTTCTTTTGAAAAAGATGAAAAAATTGATTACGATTGGATATAGCAGCCGCACAAGAAGGAGAAAACCATGGAGTAGAATGAGGCTTGACTTGAAACCAATGAGAAGGAATAAAAGCCTGAATCCATTCCAGCCTGAATCCAGGAGGTTACGTAGGAGGTGCATTTATCAGCTGAGAGAGAAAAAACATCAGCCCAAGGACCATCATGAAGAAAATCACGAAAAGAATCCAAGTCAGCTTTAGAATAGTAGTAGGTGGTGCGATGATAAAGTGAGCCCAAAAAAGAAGTACGAGAAGAAAGATTTATAGAGATCATTGCATGGTCAGAACCACCTAAGGGAGAAACTGAATATAAGCTAGGGTGAGAGACAAGACATAAGTCAAGGAGTGAAGGTAAATGATTAGGGTTGTCAGGAAAACGAGTCACAAAGTTAACTATCTGAGTAAGAGATTGAGAAACGCAGAAGTTAAAGGCTTTAGTGCCAGCAGGATCAGTGGTGTTAGAGCCAAGCCATTCAGTGTGATGGGCATTAAAATCACCAAAAACAACAATATTGTCAGAGGGGTAAAGAGAGAGGGCATGGTCAATTTGATCAGAGATAACATCTAAAAGAGTGCATTCATGGGAAGAAGGAGAATGATAAAGAACAAAGAAAAAGGTGATAAAGTGAAAAGGTGCTAGGTGAAAGCACATAAAAGAATGGTCAAAGGATTCGAACCTGATTTCACGAAAAATAGGGGAATTAATGCGTATCTATACCCCTAAACCTAGCATGTGACTATTGGAGTCTTTATGAATCAAAGGATAGTACCCATCAACACTGACATCTAAAGAAGGAATTGCAGAATTTAAATTTGTTTTACTGAGTGCAAGCAAGTCTAGTGAATTTCGCAGGAGGTAAGACTCAACTGATGCAAAGTTGCTTTGCAGACCTCGAATATTTGTAAAAGATATATTAAAACATTTAATTGGGGATGGTTTTTTAGGTTTAAAATATTTGGTTACTTTGGTCATGATTTGGGTTTAATGAGAACTTGACTCATTCATAGATAGAGCACAGCCTCCTAATCAATGAGCTATGCAGTTGTCTCAGTCCTGTCAATTAATCCTAAGCCGTGACATAGGGCTCCTTATGTGGCCTTGACAATGCACACCAAAAGCATTAACAGGGACACCATCCATGAGCAGCATGGCACTGTTAATACTCTAATATTTTGCAGCTGTTGATGGAATCAGCCTCTCTGAGAGCTACCACAGAGTTTGGGAAACCTTACTACCAGCCGGCCTCAGAACCATTAAACTGAGTTTTAGAGCTGTACCCTCATATGGAGATAACAGGAAGAGTTGCATAGCCATTATCAAGGAGGCATAAGCAAAATTCTATGAGTAGAGTCAAGGAGATCCAGCATTTATTATCCTAGGCAGGAAACAATGTAACACAGGTTACATCTACGCCAGCCTAATAGATGAAGAAGGGGTTCGAGGCTGGTTAGCAGAATTTTTCTGCTTACCCCTAAAGTCTTTGCCTATGAGGCCTTCTACAAGACAGTAGCTGGATGCAGTTAACATCTACCCAAGATGAGTTTTTATTAAGACACCATCTCTAGCCTTTACTCAACCATGAGCCCCAAAGCAGGGGAATTTTTAGTCGGAGTTTATTTCTCCTAGCCTTTGCCTAAGAAGAGCACACTCTGCAAGGCATCAGGGCTTGTGGCAGGTGGTACTGGGTTACGTGATACCAGTAGCAAGATTGATCTTGATTATCCTGACCTGACCTGAAGTAGTTAAAAGGAGTTACTTCCCACAACAGTACTTTGAGAAAACCAGGCATGACATTTTGGAAATGCATTAGGAAAAACACTGCATCTAACAAAATACAGGAGTCTAAGGTGAGTGTAGGTTTTGTAGTTGGAGTAAGTAGCTAGTTACTGAGCTCACGCTGCACCAGAATAAACAGAACACAAATAAACATAAACATAAATCAACTTACGAGTGAGTCAACGCCGCGCCAGAGGTTCTGACAGAACACAAACATACATAAAAAACATAAAGTAACTTACGGGTGAGCAAACACCGTGCCAGAGGTTCAGACAGAACACAAACATACATATAAAGTAGATTACAGGTGAGCTAATACAGTAACTAAGGCACCTCCAACTATATTAAAAAAAAAAAAAAAAAATATTACTATAGGCATGACTGATATAAGATAGTACTGATGACAGGAAGCACACTCCTTCCAGCTTTTGCTTAGAAAGCAAATCCTGCAAGGCAGCAGAAGATGGAACAGGCTGCACTGGGTTACATGTTACCAGTAGCAGGATGATCATGAAGACCATACTCCTGACCTGACATTAGTGTTATCCACCTAAATACCAATCTTTAATATTCAAAGTTGTTTTGTAATAGACTACTATTTGTTGTACACAATCACTTCTCATTATGTTACTTTTTACCACAGTAGCAATATTTTCTAAACTATATTTTCTAATATATTTTTTTATATTTTTTCAAAACTATTTTGTAAAGCAACCTTTGCTTTAAAATTGCAACACCAAATACATATTGAGAACAATTTATATTTTTACTTTTAATTTTGGATCATATTGTTTACACAGAGCTAAACATTGAGCTGTAAGGTTACTAACATAAAATTGTTCTGGTGAATTTTTTCAAACTCATTTTCCAATTAAACACTACAAAGAGCATTATAGAACTATAGAACTTATAGTCATAAATATTGCTGTAACTACAATTAGAGCTTCAATAGTTCAACCATTAAAGTTATTAAACTTTATTGATTTATGGGGGTAACCAAACACTATTTAAGTTGGGAGCAACCAAAAAACAAAAAATATAATTAAAGAGCAAGAAATGATTGATAGAAGACTTAAGTCAGCAAAACACGAAGGTGGAAAAGAACTCTAAAATATGAGGAACAAAACTAGATAAATAAAAGTTATTAGAGCACAAAGGGAAATAACTTTGTTGAAAGAACAAGAGATGATAGCTTGTTTGAGCAGCAACCATGATATCGTTTTTGTAGAAAAGAGAAAGAGATGCAACCTTACAACAATGGGACAGTGGCTCAAGCTGCCAAGCTTGAGCTACTGTCCATTGTTGGTCCAACTACATTTACAACTGTCCCAGAGTAGGTCCAACTACATTTACAGTAAATTTTTGGATCTTGTCTAGAAGAGAAAAAGGGCATCATTAGAAGAACCACCCCAAATATGACAACAGTATTCCATACTGGAATAAATAAAAGACTTATTCATTCCTGTATGGAACTAAAAGTAATGACAATGCAAGGACAATGCAACAACATTGCAAGCACAATGAAGAGACGTAACCTTAGCAGATACTATTGTGATCAAAAAGTAAGATGAAATTGTCATTTAAAACTCCTGGACATTTATGAAGGTAGGTAATTTTTTTTTCCTAGGTTGGTAAGACTGTTTATAATAACTGCCAAGCATCTGTTTGTCAAAAGGTTTAATTATCTCTGAGTTACACATGTTTTTGTAAACAACCAAAAGTAAATTTTTCGATTTCTACAATGGGTGATTTTGTTGAGCAAAGAACTTGCATCAAATTTTGGTTGTGGAATAAATATGGAATGTGGAATAAATATGTAATGCCTTGGGTGATCAAACTATGGTACAAAAATACGTTTATAAGTGGTACAATGAGTTCAAAAAGGGCCAAAAACGTGTTGAAGACGAACCCCACTCTCGTTGACCATCAACATCTACAGGTGAGGGACACAAAAAAATCAAAGATTTGGTGCTTGAAAATTGTTGATTGACAGTTAGAGATCTTGCTTATAGTGTTAGAATATCATTTGGCTCAGCCCAAACCGTTTTTAAGAATGTTTTGTTTCTCTAAAGCGTCTCAAAAGTCTTGATTGGTGCCAAAATCATTCAATTTTTTGGATAATAAGCGTCGCATTAATGTGTGTGAGATTTTGTTGTCTGACTATCAGGACCACTTGAAATGCATTATAACTGGAGACAAGACTTGGATTTATGCATCTGACCTTGAAACCACCGACCAATCCAATTAATATCATGCAAAAGGTGAAGCAAGACCAAAAAGACCACGGCAAAATTGATCAAAAATCAAGGTCATGTTGACAGTTTTCTTTGATTATGGTGGTGTGGTGCACTATGAATTCCTTCTGCTGGGCCAAATGGTCAACAAAGAATATTATTTAAGCATTTTGTGTCAGTTGCGTGAAGCTATTTGTCTGAAATGACTGCAATTATGGGTGAATAACTTTTGGTTCCTTCATCATAATAATGCATTATGTCATACTGCATTGGTTCTTTGCAACTTTTTTGCCAAAAACTCGACTAATATCATTGTATTCACCTGATTTGGCCCTGTCCGACTTTTGGCTATTTGGCAAATTCAAAAGGCCAATGCGAGGTCGTCGTTTTGACTAAATTGAGGAGATAAAAACCGAGTCAAAGAAGGTCTTGAGGGCTATACCGGAAAAAGACTTTTCTGACTGATTTGAGGACTGAAAAAGTGCGTTTTATTGGACAGGGATTACTTTGTAGTGATGAAATTTGATTTGGAAGAATAAATAAAGAATTTACAAATTCATGTTCCTTTTTGATCACAGTTATACAAAGGATTGTATATTAAGTTTCTATGAGAGGTCAATAGTGAATGATAATCGAAGAACATGTAAAGTTGATAACTCAGTCAGGGTGTTGCCATTCATCAGTATAAGAATATCAACAATAATGCAATAATTTTTTGCAGTAAACAACAGGATGTTAGATATATTTTTTATGCATTTTTACTGAGTTTTGTTTGGGTTAAATTTCACTATGTTGAGCAAAAGTTTTAAGATTTAATAATCTCAAAAACTTTCCCAGATGTACCGTATGATGCAAGCTTATTAAGTTCAGCATGCCAAATTTTATCAAAGCCTTTGATATGTTAAGAGTAATAGCCCTAGCCTCATCGTCTTCACCTAATACATAGTGAAAAGAAATTATTATTGATTTTCACTGAGTAATTTGATTGACAAATGTCTAATATCTCATATCTTGATGTGAGATATTAGATATTTGTTAATTAAAAACTTGAATACCTTGCTAATAATTGGGAGAAGACTGATTAGGTGATAGGGTCATAACTCTAAAAAACATTCTTTAGCAAATTAGGTCGCTGTGTGTAAAAACAAGTCAAGCACAGTATGACCAGAAACATGGCAGGGATAAAGATTTAAGCGAGTTAAGAAATGCTATGTTTTTTTTTTTTATTTATTTATTTTTTTTATTTGTCAGTGCGAAGTTTAATTCTAATTAAAGAATAAAACAAAATTTTTTTTTTGTAATTGTAATTTACCAATTTTCACTTAGTCTCATTCATAGTTACAATTCCTAACTTAGTTCCTAATTTAGTTATAAGTTTTTTTATCTTGAAATAGACTGATAACACATTTACTATTGAAAGTATTTTTATTTTTATTGTTTATTTTATTATATTTATTTTTGTTTAGTATTATTGAAGATGTTTATCTTGAAAATAAACAAAAAAAAGATATAGAAGATGACATTGAAGGTGACATTTATATTATTTTTACGTATATTATTTTATAGTAGATAAGAAAAAATGTAAATACTTATAAAACTAGCTTAAAATAAACATAATAAATGTCAATGAAACATTTTATAAACAATAATAGAAAATTTTTCATTATAAAAGCGTCATTAGGTATATTATATATTATATCTATTAAAATTCATGTTTTGTTGTTTATTCATTTAATCATGTTTACAAATTTGTTTGAAGAATTGTTTAATATACATGTTGATGAATAAAAAAACATTTAGAGGTTCAAAATGCGTAGAGTTCCAGTAACTTGTTCCAATGATATATTGCAGTTGTTCCAGTAATATTTCTGTAGGATTTGGTTTTGCTAGGCAATGACTAGAAGTCTAAATTATGATACTCCCTGCCTTTAGGCTCTTTGTTGTATAAAGACTAAATAAATATGAATAAATTAATTATTACTTACTACAAGTAGTATTACTAAGTAATAATAAAATATTAAACAAAAAAATCATTATTACCACCGTATTGTTTTAATATATTCTTTAAAAATATTTGTGATCTTTGAAAATTTTCATCTGTTGAGTTTTATAAAATTTATCAGACGTAAGTGCTCTTTTGTTAGACCATTTAAATGGGCAGTTTTACCTTTAAATCTTAGTGTTGATGGCTCTTATCCTTTGATTTGCAAAGACTCTAATATTCTCATACTTGGGCTGAGCATGTATGTATTATTTCACTTATTTGTTGTGATATCTGGTTTGAATTGGCTTACTATTCTTATATATGTTTTCTTTTAGCATCTCTTCAGTCAGTCATCTTTTTTATTTTGTTCATTATTGTTCTTCTTTCAATGGCTGCATTCTTTTTGATTTGTTTATAAACAAATTAATCAAGTCTTTTTTTTTCTCAACCAATATTGTTGTCAACTTTAATGCTCATCACACCGAAGGCTTAGCTTTAGTACCACTGACGCTTCTGGCTCTAAAGCTTAAATTTTTGCCTTAATCTCTTGCTCAGATAACTTTGGAGCTCATTTTCTTTTCTTTGATTTGACTCTTTGATTTGTATCTTGTGTCTGATCCTAATATTTGTTCAGTTTCTCCTTGTTCTCCTTTATGTGGTTCAGATCATGATATTATCTCACTAAAACTTTTATCTCGTATTCCTTCTATATCCAATTCACCCTTTCGTTGCACTTCTTAATAGCTTTAAGCTGACTGGGATTCATTTGCTATTTTTTTTGTGACAATCCTCTGGCTAATATCTTTAACTCCTCTACTGAAAGATCATGCTATAATCTCACAAAAACTCAAAAGCCTTTATCTTACACTTCTTCTGCATCTGATTCACCCATAGCACTTAATCTTAACACTTAACACTTAACATAGCACTTAATCTGATTCACCCATAGCACTTAAATCTTAAGGCTGTATGGAATTCTTTTCATTGTTTACTTTATTATGGTCTTTGAGTTATTGATTTTTTTCTCTGCCAAAAATTGTGCTTATTTATCTACTGGTTTCGGAAAGTCTAACATTTCATCTCTCATGCATGGATATGATCTTATTAACTCTCCCAAGGATAAGGCAGAACTATTTGCAAAGAACTTTTCTTCGTATTCATCTCTTGAGTCAAATGACCAAACTCTTGTTATCTTAAAGAAACAGGTTAATTCACCGAAACATTTAAATCATTCCTGCTTCGGTTGTTAAAATTATTTCTTCAGCTCCTGGTTCGAACAACATTCCTGTCACAGTATTACAAGGGTGTTCTGTAGAACTCTCTCTCTCTCTCTCTAAACTGTTTAACAAGTACTTAACTGAATCTTGTTTTCCTGCCAGCAGGGATATAGCATTTATGGTTCCAATTTTTTGTGGTTTAAAACCTTTGCTCTGACTTCTCTATAACCAAGTCTTCTCATGACTATTAGCAAAGTTTTTGAATTATTAAATTAAATTCAGGAATAACACAAGGTTCCATATTGGTTATGTGTTGATCCTCATTTTTACCAGTCATCTCCCAAAAAACATTTTAAGTAGCTCTATTTGCTTATTACAAATCTGAAATGGTGAATTTTAATTCAAATAAAAAGTTGTTTACTGCTAATAATTATCGCAATGTTGTTGATTATTCTTAAATTAGTGACAGCTCTGTGTGTTTGACAACTGAGTTCTCTACTTTCTGAAATTATCTTTCACAAAGTTAATATCTACTAAGATGCCACTCATTATTGCTTTTGTCATATTTTTCCATCTATAACTTTATAAGTTTCTTATTTGTTTTTTTTTTGAATATAATTGTCATATTTTGGCTAGTTATTCTAATAATGCCTTTTCTCTTCTAGGCCAGTTTAAAAATTTTTTTGTAAATGTAGTTGGACCTGCTTCAGCTTTCAAGCTTGAGCCTCTGTTACTATCAAGGTTGCTGCTCAAACAAACTGTCTTCACTTATTCCATTAACACACATTAAAATCAGTTCTCTTGTGACTCATCGTTTAGCAGTTTTGCATACCTTTCCTGTTGTTCTTTCATGCTCAAAAAGTCTTTATTCGTCTAGTCTTATTTCTTGTTCTTCAACAATATTCTTTAGTTTATGCTTTCTTCCAACTAAATAGTGGTTGCTGGCAGTTTATTGGTAGCTAATTTGTTCTCAAAAAAAAAAGCCAATATTTTTAACATCAAAGTAGTGCAACCATCACAATGCTCGTTATTATTTATTTTGTTATACACAGTTTTCAAACTTTTGTTTCTTTTTCTATGTACTTCTTGTTTTGATAAAGCAAAACATAATAAAAGCTGTTGTATTATTTATTACCTCTATATAAAAATATTATAAAAAAATTTATTAGCCCAACCCATTATTATTGAGTATGGCATTCTTAAAGGTTTAAGTTTACAACTAAGTTTTTTTGTAAATACCATACTAAATCAGTAGTTCCGAATACAATATTGATAATTAGAACTTTATCTTTGTTTATAGTCACTTTTAATTAATTTGATTTCAAAGTGCTGAAATCACTTTAAATGCTTTTTTATATATTATATATATGTATATATATATATATATATATATATATATATATATATATATATATATATATATATATATATATATATATATATATATATATATGATTTAAAGGATAACATCTTGTGTGAGAGTATATTTATATATTATTTTAAAACATCAAAAATACGATTTCTCTCAACACTTATAATTTTTTATTATTATAGAAATTTTCGCTGGATTTTAGATACCAGCTTCTTCAGCTTGTTAAATGTTACAGTAACATTTTACTGTAAGATTTAACATTTACTGTAACATTTAACAAGCTGAAGAAGCTGGTATCTAAAATCCAGCGAAAATTTCTATAATAATAAAAAATTATAAGTGTTGAGAGAAATCGTATTTTTGATGTTTTAAAATAATATATATATATATATATATATATATATATATATATATATATATATATATATATATATATATATATATATATGTATATATCAGGCTTGGTTGGGAAGCGGGTGCAATCGCACTCGATTATTGATCATGGAAATAATATTCAGTTGCGAAAAACCGGCCAGATTTTATAGTCGTTTTGAGAACATTTCAAAAACAAACAAAAAAGCGCAATTGAAAAAAAGCGCATTAAATGGACTGATGAGAGACAGTTAAAAAAAAGAAAAATAGCTTTTAACGCAAAAAAAGCTTTAAGCAAAATAAATTTATTAGAGCAATTATTTTTGAAATGTTGCTCTTTTATAATTTTTTTTATAAAATTAGGTGACATTTTTTATATAAAGTAACAATTATAAAGAAACAAATGTTCTTCGATTTATCAGAGTATATATAATTTTTATTTATATACTTATGCCTTATTTCCAGTTGCGGATTGAGGAGGTGGGGTGGGGGTAGTAGGGCTATAGCCCTTGGACTCATACTAGGGAAATAGTCAAGAGGAGCATTCGGTATTTTTTTAGTCATTTTTACGCTGTGGCACATTAAAAAGGACACCAAAATAATGCAGCCCCCATGGCCCTGAAAAGTCCAACAAGATTCAACCAATAAAACTAACGCTAGATGATTTATTTATAAATAAAAAAGTTTTTTCAATAACTGTTTTATGCTTCGTGTAGTTTAAAAAGTTTAACACATTTGAAACAATTCTTCTTAGTAAGATGAACAAATGAAATAATTAAATCATTGAGTTACTTTATAAATTCAATTAGCTAGATAGAAATTAACTAAAAACGTTAAATTACTTTGTGAGGAAGAAGCGGAATTGCTTCACAATAACGCTGATGATGTTTAGTGAGTGGGCTTTATAATTTTAATTAGTATTTAAAACAGAAAAAAGTAACTTTAAGTATAACGAGTTTGTAAGAATGGCTGAAGCAAAAATAATTGAAGTTAGTAAACCAATTCCTAAGAACTTAAAAACTTTTCTTTCTTTGGGGAAAGAATCAGTTATCGGGTACGCTGAGGAAAATGGATTAGTAGTTAAAATTACTTGTATTAACTTTGACGAGTATTAATAATTTCATTGAAAACGCAGTTATTATTGAAAGTATTTTTGTTTACAAAATCAATCACACAAATTGCTTTAAAAGATTACATTTGAATAAAATACACATACATAAAATTACATAGATAAAAATACATTACATACATAAAAAATACATCCCTTATATATAAAAAAAAAAGAATATACTAATAAAATCTATAATATATTTACAAAACGTTGACAAGTTAAAAAAATATAAATTTTAAACATTATGGTAAACAAATAATGTTAGCTTAAAACATTTATAGCTTTGTAGATCATCTACACATCTACAGTAGATGTGGCTCTAAGAATTAAAACAATAGTTCGTTTGATAGTATATTCTTAAAATAATTTAAGATAGAAATCTCACGAAAATGTAACAAAATTCAAATAATACAATTTTTTAAAATATTTCAACAGAATACTCAGAACATTCGGTTAGTATGTTTTAAATACTCTAGAAATTTCGGTTAGTATATTTGGAACCATTAGAATTAGTTGTTTGTAGATTTGGCGGGTTTTTTGTGTTTGCGAATATTCTTTTTTTATTTTTCCGCACTAAGATATTTGAGAACATTCTAGTTTATGTATGTTTCCATGTAAGTCCGTAAAACAAAATATTTTAAAATTTACGATAAAATGAACTTATTATTTTGCGGACAAACAAGGAGACATACATAAACTTAAATGTTCTCAAAACGACTAAAAAATCTGGCTGGTTTTTCGCTACTAAATATTATTTCCATGGTTATCGATTACATATATATGTATATGTATATATACATATATATACATCATGGCCTACTATAATTACACGGCCGGATATCTTGCTTTTCGCAGCGAAAAATTAGAAGGGTAACTTTTCAAAACATAAATATATCGCATAGCTTGATTGGCCACACTTACCGCAATTAAAATTAAAATCTTTATACAGATTTTTGTTTACAGAAGTGTGTATATAATATAAAATTTGTTGGACAAATATAACTTAAGTTTAAAAAATTATATATTTTCCTTTGCCTGATAATAATGTTTCTAAAAACTTAAGAATAAGAGAATATTATATTGTACTTTGTTCATCAATAAAAAATTGTAATAATTTTTTTCAATAATATAATATTTAAATTTGTAATGACTTAATTCAAAGATAAACCTCAAATTGTATACATATATATATATATATATATATATATATATATATATATATATATATATATATATATATATATATATATATATATATATATATGTATATATATATATATATATATATATATATATATATATATATATATATATATATATATATATATATATATATATATATATATATATATATATATATATATATATATATACACACACATATTTCTCATAATAAAATCTCAATTATGTTAACAAGATATATAAAATGATTAACAAAAACCTAACAATAAAGGAAGAGTATACATTAAAAGTATAATAGTTCAGCTGTATAATTTAGCATTAGCTTCTTCAATTCAGTTCAGCTTAATTGATTATTAACTTAACTAATTCAGCTTTAATCTTTTTTTTTTGTCTGCATTTAAAATCCTATACACTGTTCTTTCGAATTTCATCAAAAATGTGTTTCTGTTCATTGTTAAAATAAATATTTACAACAACACGATTTACAAATTTTACATCAATAATTTGATGTTCATCGGATAAGAATGAAGAAGCACAATCTTTTAATCTAAGTACCCAGTGTCTAATATTGCAAATGCTTTGGCAACATAATGTGTAAGATCAATAGCTGGTAAAATCAATCCACCACGAGAAAGTTTTTCTAAATATTGACATTGAAGCTCACCAGATTCAGCTAATAGAAAAGTTTTGCAAACACCACATTTGATCTTTTTATTAAACTTTTTAACAACATAACCAGAAATAACTGTAGCAACTTCAAAGCTTTCTGAATCTTAACTGCGTTCTTCAAATCTGGTAAAATTTCTTGCAATTTATCATTAAATAATTTAAGTAAAGATATATTACAACTCTTTTTTCTAACATTTTCCTCCCAGATATCGACTGACTCTTTAAGTAAAGTTTTCAAAGCTTATATGCACTCAGATGTCTCAAGCTCACGCAAACCAATTAAAAATCTGCCACCACTCATTTGACGATACTTTGAAAAACTTAGTTCTAATGTATCAGTTTGCAAGCGTGATACTAAAAAATAATGATACTCTTCTTGAATTAAATCATCAATAAGTGAAGCTGTGCATCTTAAAGTGGTCCTTCACGCTTCTGATGTTTGTTTACTTAATATAAACTTTTGAGAGTTTGAAACTTGAGATAATTGCCAATTCTTAATCCGTTTGGCTAGTTTTCTCAAAAATAAAGGTTTCATGTCACCCATAACAGCTGCATTTCCAATACAAAAATTGTTGTTTTATATTTTCTTTCTGTTACTTATTGTCCACCATATATTTATCAACTTTAAAAATGTTGAGGCATCAGTCCTATCTTGAAAATAACTTTCAATAGATGCAGAAGTTGAAGGATCAAATATTGCAAGAGCAAGTGGTACACTTTGTTTATTATCTCTTGGATGAAGTGATTTATAAAATAATTTAAAACCTTTTTTTAAATTTGACTGAAGTAATTAGTCTTTATCATATACATCATGAAGTAACTTCCATGATATTTCACCAGCATGTACATCAATAACAACATGAAACTGATCAAAATAAAAAGCAGGGAATATATGTTTAGAATTCAGTATATTGATATACTAATGGTGGTATTTTTTCAGTTGAGCAATAAATAGTTGGAACGGGATTTAAATCCCAAACTAATGTTAGTCTTTTGCCAATTTTTAAATATTTAATTACATATATATGTATATATATATATATACATACATATCCTTGCCTCAGAGCAAAAATGTTCTATCTACAAGTTTTGAAAAATTGAGATGAACGTGTAGATAAAATACTATCCGTATTAATTTAAAGAAAATATTTTGAAATAAATATAAAGTATTGAATTATATTTATATAAATATATATACATATATACATATATATATATATATATATATATATATATATATATATATATATATATATATATATATATATATATATATATATATATATATATATATATATATATATATATATATATACATATATATATATATGTATAATTTAATTATATATATATATAATTAAAAATACATAATTTATGGTGACATACTATTTATTTGACTGAAAATTTTTTAATTTTAAGTGTGATATTTTGGCTCATATAGTTGAAGCCATTATAAAAATAAAAATAAGCAATGACATCATTATTGTAAACAATGAATTTTTGGTAATGTTTGGTAATTTTTGGTAATATATATATATATATATATATATATATATATATATATATATATATATATATATATATATATATATATATATGTATGTATGTATGTATGTATATATATATGTATGTATATATATATATATATATATATATATATATATATATATATATATATATATATATATATATATATATATATATATGTATATATATATATATATATATGTATATATATATACACACACTATACACACACATTACCAAAAATTCATATGTATATATATATATATATATATATATATATATATATATATATATATATATATATATATATATATATGTATATATATATATATGTATGTATATATATATATATATATATATATATATATATATATATATATATATATATATATATATATATATATATATATGTATATATATATATATATATATATATATATATATATATATATATATATATATATATATGTATATATATATATATACATACATACACTCACTGATAGGCACAAGTTTATTGAAAGATTGTCCGAAAATTCGTGATGCTCGAATTGCAATGTATTTTCAAAATCTTCCAACAATTCAACAGAACTTAGATGTTTCTACTCCTTGCAAATCAAATGCAGTGTTTCCCACTACACCACCAAAAAAAGCACCCCATTCAAAGTCAGTTAACTTTAAGAATACTTTAAAAAATCCAATAAAAGCGATTAACTTCAATAAAGATTCAATAGAAGAATTGAAGAAAGTTTCAGATACCCAGTGTGGATTATTTAGTGTTTTTCTGTTTTTCAAATAGTAGCTTCTATTAAGAATACATTGTATATTCAAAAGTTATTAATTATTTTTTTTTTAATTATATTACTGCTTTCTAATGTAGATGTGGAAATTGTATGAAAAATATGACTGATTTTTGTTACTTTTGCTATAACCACACTAAACAAAATATAGATGTTAATAATGCAAATCAAATGAAGAAAAAAGAGCATGAATATGACCATATTCAGCAACTTATCAAACATAGTAGAGATAGTGAAGTTGAAAAGTTAGAAAAGGTTTGATGTTATATCAGAATTCATTAGATGTTATTTAAGATTTGTTAATTAAACATTCTTCATTTGTTCATGAAGTTAGATTTTTTATATACTTTATTTTAAATTAAAAGCATATGAATGATAGAAAGGTAGAAGAAGCTCGCTTGGTAGCAGCCTCAAATTTAGAAAATTCTGAGATAGCAAGAAATGAACATAAACAAAAATCACATGAGTTTAACGTAATCATTTTTTTTTCTTTATATATATATTTTGTAAATGTATGTACATCGTAAAAAAGGCCAAAGATGAACAAGATTTGTAGTTGTATGTACCCTGTAAAATCGGCTTATGTTTGAATCTCTAATAAAATTTATATATTTAAAAAAAAAAAGTAAGCAATGAATGTTATAAAAACTATTGTTTTATTTATTTATTAAAAAGTATTTAATATTTATTTAAAGTTGTTTTAGAGTTTTAAATAAATAAACATAAGATGTGAAATTTGTTCATCTGATATCAACATTTAAATTTAAAATAGAAAATAAGTTAAACGCAAATCTGATTTAATTAAAAAGGCTCCTAAATAAAAAATTTTATTTAAAAAAAAAAACTTAATTTATTTCTAATTGAATTTTAGGTCTGATTTAGTAAAACAATCAATGGGAAAATCTTTAACTGCTATTTGAAAGAATTATGCCAGAACAGTTTTTTTTATGAATCTAATGAGATTTTGTAGTTTTCAAAGATGCAACCTTAAAAACTACTACATCTAGTGCAAATATCTCCATCCAAACACATTTTAACCATTAAACATTTCTTTTTTAATAGTTTTTAATGTTCAAAGAAGAAGTTCTATTGGATATAACATTGTCAGCTCTCTGTTTTACTTAAAGGAGTTTAATTTTTTGCATTTTACTGAAATGCAAATTGACTTGTAAGACTTGTATACAGCTATTGTATTTTTAAGAGAGAAAAAATTATTGAGGTGTGTAACAAATCAGATATATCAGCATATAGTTTTGCTTCAATCTTTCTAAAATGTTTTAACTTTTTATATACAGCATTAATTATATTTGAAAAGGTTTCAATTTCAATTAAAATACAAAGCTAGGCGTGTTGTTTTAAAAATTTTAATAATACTTTTTTGAAATAGATCTCTTATGGAATTTTAATCAAACTAAGCATTTTAGTTGAAAGTTAGTTGTTCCAAACAATACAGTCTTTTTTCCCAGTTTTTAATTTGATTACTAGTTAATTTTTATTGCAGTTTTCATTAAAAATAGTTTTGCTTAAAGCAAGAAGTTTATCTTCTGTTGCTTTCTTCTTTTTAAATGGCTCTACTCATTTTCCACATTCCTGAAATATAAACAAATTTAAATTTCATTTATACAAAAATGAAATTTAAATTTGTTAAAATAAAATGAAATTTAAATTTGTTAAAATGAAATTTACAAAAGTATATTTCATTTTAACTTTCAACTTATTATAATATCTTAACTTATTTGCAACACCAGCAAAAATATACAGTATATTAGATTTGGTTTAGCTTCATCCAAGTTTATTTGTTTGCTTACACTTTTTAGTTTTTTGCTGAAAAATTTATTTGATGTTTTGTTAAATTATCTTTTATTATTTTGGTTTTAAAATCTTTTGTTTTCAGAACTTAAATATTTTGACATTTGACACTTATATTTATAATAAATTTGTTTCTAGTTCTCTCACATGTCAATTAATTCATTTTGTTATTTTATTTAGAGTGTCTGGTATTTATCATTTTGCCAAATTTTATTTTTCGCCAGATTTTGATTAGACTATGCTCTCTACTTACCTTTTTTCTATCAGCAAATTAAACACAGGTTTAAATATTTAACAGATTTAAATTGCTGCATTGGATAAGATACTTTTAAACAATTTAACAAACAATATAGTATTCGGTGTATGTAATGCTGATCAAACTGCTTTCACATGATATAATTTGTTAGATCATGTAGATTATGAAAACTTGAAGTTATTATCATTCTGTAAATTATCATAACGATTGTAGATGTACTAAAATATATTTAATTGGATTACATTTTTTTTTTGGTATTTACAAGTAATAATTTACAAGTTTGGTTTTATTAAAATGAGTTTTTGAAAAAAGATTTTGTTTACTAAGTTGTGAGTAAAGATATGTGCAGCAGTTTGTATCAAATAGCCATAGTTTTTCTTGAGTTGCCATAGTTTTTCTTGAGTTGCCATAGTTTTTCTTGAGTTTCTGTACAACAACAGTTCGTTTCTTCATTGTTACACAAATGTACATAATTACAAAATACTAAAGTACATTAACAATTAAATATGTTTTGCTAAATCAATTATTGTGGTATTATACAGATTGACTCATACAGAATAACTCATAAGTTTTTATAATTTAAGAAAAACAAAAAAAAAAATAAAAAAGAGGACTATTATTTTTAGCAAGATAGTGTTTTATCTTCATCCTCACTAATACTTGGTATGATATTTCTTGCAACAAATTCAAGTATACCACACCAGTCACAGTGTTATCAAAAAAGAATGGTTCAATTAAACCCCACTGACAATCCACACCACACTGTAACTCTTAGTAAATTTGAATGATGTTCTTCTGTAACTTGAAAATTCTCTAGTGCCCAGTAGCTGCAATTGTGTTTATTTATTCATTTGTAATTTACTCATTTAATTAAAATGTTGCATTATCGCTATATAGTCTTGTATGAAAACTGTATGTGTTTTGCACATTTTTCAAGGTGGAACTCGCAAAACTTTACTCATCGATCATAATCATTCTCAATGAGGATGTTTGCAATGCAACTCTTCCGATGTGTGTGCTTCAAAATGTGATGAATACTCAATTTAGTACCTTATACAAGTGTCTACCTGATACACTACTTTTCCAAACAGATTTTTTTGAAGTTTTATGATAAGTTTGCAGTAATTCTTCTTCTCTTGCTTCTGCATGTTTGTAATCTTCTAAAACGTTGTTAGTTTGACATTTTGAAGTATCCTGTTTTTTTCTAACTTAACCCTAATGTGAGTAATGAGAAGTCTTGTAAGTGGATCTGAAACTTCTAAACTATTTGTGCACTTCCACATTGTTTTCACACTTATGGTAGCACTTCAAAATAAATTTATGTTTTTCAAACTCTAGTTGAATATCAGCTATTATTTTTAATATTTTAATAATAAAAAAAAGAGATATTAAAGTGTGTACACATTTTTTAAGGACACCCAGCCCTTATAACATTTCAAAGTTGTCTTATGTTTTACTCAGTCACAATTGGTAACAAGGGTACAATCTCTTATTTTTAATTAAATAAATTTGGCAATGCAGCAAATGTTTGTTTGTCGTTGACATATTACTATTTATCTCGCTTTATTTTATTTTTTTGTAAAATAGCTTCATTTCAATTGGTTACTTAGTCTTAAAAAAAAAGGTTCAATTCACAACATTACGTCTCAATTAGTTACACTTTTAAAAGTGTAACTAATTTTTGAGAGCAGCCATAGATCCGTGGTTCAATGACACCTCTGTGCAAGTTTTATAACATCAGTAAGGAAGGAGGCGTGAACTTCCTTTCAAATGATCTCTGGCAGTGCTTTGTGATAAGACTGCAAGCTCTTCTTGGGGCACCTAAAATAAAAAAAAACCAAATGGTTTACAAAAGTGTAACCAATTGAGACATAACCCAATATATATATATATATATATATATATATATATATATATATATATATATATATATATATATATATATATATATATATATATATATATATATATATATATGTATATATATATATATATATATATGTATATATATATATATATATATATATATATATATATATGTATATATATATATATATATATATGTATATATATATATATATATATATATATATATATATATATATATATATATATATATATATATATATATATATATATATATATATATATATATATATATATGTCTGCTGGCACCCCCAAAATGTGTTTTATATATTAAAGTAATACAGGATTTAAAATATTTTTAAATAAAAACCATTTTTAGGGGTTGCTATGAACCCTTGAACATTACATGGATCCCTAATGTTATCAAAAAAAAAAAATTATCAAAAGCATGTCATGTTAAAATGTCATGTTGAAAATCAATGCATTTAATATTAGGTTTGAATTTAAGCAAGTATTTTTAATGTAAAAAAAGTTTCTTTTACTGCAAAAAAAAAGTAAATAAAAAAAATCTTTTACTGCAAAAAAAAGTAAATAAAAATTGTTTCATTACTCTTTTATTATTTTCTTACCTTTTTTATCGGTTTTTTTAAAAAAAGAATTTAGTAGTGTTTTTAATAAAAACACTATTAAATTATTATGCATGTGAGGAGACACTAAGGAGTTGTTAAAAACTCTGGTGTCAGAACGAAAGTTTTAGAGTCCTCTTATAGTATCAAGTCATTATTGACATGTCATACGGACATAAATCAACTGTATAACACATATAATATGATATAAAAGATATATATTACAGACTAAAGTACGAAAGTTTTTTTAATTTTTAGCGCTCTTTTTTGTTCAAAGATCGATTGGTTACACCCCCATTTCATGTCAAACAAGCAGATTATGGAGGAGCACTTGATATTCAGGTTATTGCTTGCTCTTTTTATATATCTAAAATTATTAACAAATAACTACAATTATTAACTTTGTTGTTATCAGGTCAATGAGAGATTTCAAACTATGAAGAATGATCATAGTAAGTATAAATTCCTCGATACCATTGAGAGAATCCAGATAGCGGACAAGTAAGTTTATTTGACATTTCCTATAAGCAAAATTAGTATTTTAAATTTATGTTTGAATGATTTTTCTGTTTTTATAATTATTTTGCTTAATAAAGAACTTATTTTAAAGTTACCAGCAAGAACAAGATAATAATTACAAAGTAAAAAATTTTAAATCAGAAGAATACCGTAAAGCATTAGATACCCAGGTAATCTTTCCGTTTGCGTATACTATATGCATTTACGTTATAACAACTTTTTCAATAAATCAATAAAAATTTTATTGTTTTTATTTTGAATGGTTACAACTAATAATTTATTCGTGATAACATGACGGAGTAAGTTTTTAATGTTAATAAAAATGGAAAATTAAAAATAAAAAGTACGTCTCATTTTATGGGACCTTTTTTTTATTTAAATATAATAATTTTATATAGATTTGCATGAAAAAATATCTGGATACAAGTTCAGAGTTTCAAGAAGAAAGAAAAGTTAGCCCTAAAACCACTACTTTGGTTCCATTTCAAAATCACCAGGTCATTTGAAGCAATTTTTATTGTATATTTTTATTAGGCCTTTTTATATTTTTAACCTTTTTTAATTTTTAACCTTAGGCATAAAAAATTGCTTTCGATGAGTTTGTTTTTTTAACTACGTTTAGTTTCTGGTTAAGTTTGCTCTTGAAAAGAAATTGAAGAAACTTTAATTTTATTTCAGGAAGTAAATCCATCTTTGTTGTTGCAATCGCCAAACCCAGATAGTGTTCAGCTTTTTAAATTTCACGGAACGAACAAGATTCTTGATATGGATGAAAATAAACTACGGAAGCGACGTCAGAATGAACTTTTGTTTAAAAATCAAATGAAAATGGCTGTTGAAAGGCGCGAAAAAGAATGTGCGGCAAGAATGGCTTTAAGAAAAGAAGAATTAGAGATGCTAAAGAGAACGAGGAATGAGTAAGTTTCAGCTCATACTTTATAATTTTTTTGCAATAATTGAAACAAGAAAAATCATTTTTATTATTTTGCTGTAGCCTTTTACAAGAATCGTTCATTCGAAATCATTTCAATGTGACACAAAGGCTTGAGTTGGAAAAGAGTTGGTGCGCTCATTGGAAAAAAAAAGACGTAGGAGAGGTTGATGAGAGAATTCGTAATCAATCACCTGGACTTCTGCTACATGACCAATGCGAAAAATATTATAAATGTTCCCAGTGCTTTAGAAAACCCACTAATTACGGAAAATCAAATGTTTGGTCCGAATCGCGATATGTCTCTGGATCAAGAATAATGCTCTAATTTTTTTTCAACAATATTTTTTTACTGTTTTTTTTTTTTTAAATAATCTATTAATTCTATGGTTTGTTTTATTTATCTTTTATCCATGAAACATTTTTTTATGTTTTGAACTATCATTAGCGTTTTAGCATTGTAAATATTTCTAAACAGCGAAATATACAGCTAGAAAAATTTAATATATTCAACCATATCTTCAATAATGATTCCCAATAACTCAAATTGAGTTTAAATATCTCAAGTTCATTTTAAAAAATCTGACTTCTCAATTACATGTCGGGGACCGCGCTTATTTTCACGACGAAAATATGGGGGGAAAAAAAATTGATATATTTAAAAGAACTATAAAAAAATTGACTAATTTAAACAATACAGACAATTTTTCATTTTCAAAATAAAGAATTTTATTTTATGGTTTATCTTTCTTATTGTTTTTGTTGGTCTGATTTTAAATCTTTAAATTATTTTGAATCTTCTTAAATTCTAAATCTCTTTTAAATATTTAAATATGTGTAAATATATATTACGTGCTGTATTGAATATATATACGTATTTGTACCGATTTTAAAATTTTTATATTTACGTTATACAGTACGTTATTTTTATATTTACGTTATATCACGATACGTATATATACCGATTTGTAAATTTTTTTTCAAAGATTTTTTCTATTTTCCAACTTAATAACTTTTTTAAAACTTTAATTTTTTTTTTTCTTCAAACTTTTTAGTTTCACTCTTTTGTATAATATTAGAATTTGTAAAATTATTTTTTTCTTCAGGGGCTGGATGATAGCACATTTTGTCCTCTACTTGCCCCAGTCAGATTGTAATTATGTATATTTATTAGATCTTAAGGATAGTATTGTAAAATGTATAGATATTGACGAAATAAAACTAATTAAAAATAAACTGCCATTTATCCTTGCCTTGATAAGAAGCCAACACCATCTGATTGCTTGGAGGGAGCATTTGAGCTTGAAAAGGATCTCACTTCAGCTACAGTATGGGACTCTCGGTGGTTAGTGAATTTTAAATAAGATAAAACTCAATTTTTTTAGCTAACTGTTATAGCAATAATCTAGATTTTCCTATATTTATGAATGGTAACGTATTTGATGAGTCTACCCTTGTATTAGGAAATTGTTTCGATGCCTGCACTTGGATACCATTTCACTTTTTTTGTTTAGCAGATTTTTATTTTTGGAAAAAGGAATTCCATATTTTTCGTATGTGCATAGTTTGCAGGACTTCGTGGCTGGGTTGTAAGCATTGCACTGCTTAATTATTTTTCATTTGACAACTGGGTTTAAGTTGGCATCTTTTAATTTCCAATATTCTTTTGATAATTTGGTGTCATTTTTGTATTTTAGAATGTTAAATGATTTTATATGGTTGAGATATCTAATTTTGAATGGTGTTTCACTTATACCGATGTAGGATTTGTTGACAGGAGTGTTAGTAAGATTATTGGAACTTATATTGGCTTGGTATACAACGTTTTTTGTTTAGCATTGGTTTGATAAAGGGCAGGTATTTTTATTAAGGCATTTGCAGTTGGTTTTAGGTGGAATTTTGTTGTTGTTCATAATTTGTTCATAAATTATAAAGTTTAAATAAACAGATAAAAAATTTTAGCACGCGGCAAAAATATCAAGGTTAAACACAATGATGAATCAGATGCACTACCATCTAGTAAGATCAGATCCAAAAATATCAAGCATATCTTTTAGGAAGCATAAGAGCTATCGAGGAAAACCGTTACCAGATGAAGTTTTTAAATTAATTGTAATGTAAATAATAAATTTAATGTAAAAAAATACAGTATTTTTTCTTTATGTATCAACATCCTTTAAAAACTATTTTTATAAAAATATCAAGTAGAGTAATATATCAAAATTATGTGTTTGTCTTGAAGATTCTAAAAAACTAAAAAAAAAAATTTTTGTACGCGTATAGTCACCTTTAACACGCGTAAGCGCGCATTTTACGTGTTAGCTGCGCGTTAAAAAAAAAACTATTAACAAATTTGAAATCTTTGACTTAAAAATTATTATTTTAATATATAACATTATTTGTTTACGATTTATGTCAATTTTTATTTAATTTTTGCCGTTTTTTGATTGTCCTGAGTCACTGTGCGCCGTCAGTAACCAAATAACTTCTATGTGCTCACCTTCTGGGGAAATAAGCAGCGACCGGGCATCCATACCGAATATACTTAACCGCCAGTTTCAGTCAGTATTCACAATCGAACCATCAGGTCAACCACTACCTCCCTTTGTCAACCGTACAACCGCTTTAATCTCCTCCGTTTTTGTTACAATTAAATTTCGTAATATAATACCAAATACTCTTATTCTTTTAAAAATAAACCAGTTATAAATATAAAAAATCAAAGATAAAATAACAAGAGTTAATTATAAAAAAATATATATAAAAACGCGGGAAACTTGCAGATGACCATTAAGTCTTATCATCAAGAACCGTTGTAATAATTATGCTTTTACAATATTAAATTCCTATAATAGTGTTCAAAGCAAAACTTAGTTAACTAAGGTAAATAGTATTAATACCAAAAACTTTTTAAGATAAAAAAAGAGACTAAAACAAAAAAACAAAGCAGTTTAAAAGAAATCATTAATAAGATTTGTATACTTTGAAATATTCTTTTTTATTAGTTTTTGAAAGCAGTTTATATTATTTACACCTGGTAAATTACTATATTTTGATAAGATTTTATTCCAGATATGCGGAGCACGATATGTAATTTTAAATTGTTCTTGTTTGGTTTTGCATAATGGTTCAATTAAGCCTGTTGTGCGTAGAGTATATTTAATGTTAGGTTTTATTTCATAAAGATCATTAAAAATTGAGGGGCATTGTTGAAATTTACTTATTTACATGAGACATAACATTTTATAAACGTTTATCTCTAATAACGTAAAAATATTCATAACTTCAAACAGTGGTTTTGCATGTTCGTTTTTTTATTTATAAAATTTATTATTCTTAAAGCAGTTTTTGTTTTCGATAGAGTGTTTCAAGCTTGCTTTTAGATGTACTACACCACGCAATATTCACTAAAACTGAAATAGATTTGTTTTAGATGATGTTTATTTAGTAAATCCCGTGACTGATATAGGACGCCAATACTTTTTGATATTTTGCTGCCAATATAGACAATATGTTTATTTCAGGTAATATTTTCGTCAATGAGAACACCAAGAAATATTGTGACTCTTTCGCGACAGAAATTTCTGTGTTTTCAATAACTAGATTTGGAAAAGAAATATGATTTTTTTTTTTTATTAATAGAGAGTTTATTTGCATTGAACCATAGTGAAATTTTATCTAACTCGTTGTTCATTTGTACAAAGAGTTGAGGTATATCTTTTCCTGAAATAAAAAAGTTACTGTCGTCAGGAAACATTATTTTTGATATATTTGACGCTCTCCAGAGATGATTCACGTATATTAGGAAAAGTAGAGGCCCAAGAATAGATCCTCGGGGCACTCCACAAGAAATTAAAGATGAACTTTAAAAAAATAAAAACGTACACAGTCCATATATTATAGAAATAAAAGTTTTTTATTTCCATAATATATGGACTGTGTACGTTTATTCAGGTAATCTGCTATCCACCTGCAGGATACGCAGGTGGATAGCAGATTTCCTGATAAATTATATATATCGTCATTATCTTTAAAAAATGCATATAACCTATTGAACATAATTCGCTCAAAAATCTTAGAAAAAATGGAAAGTATAGATATTGGTCTATAGTTTCCAATATCCGTTTTATCGCCTGATTTGAATATAGGTTTAACTTTTGCTGATTTAAATAATATCAGGAAAGAAACCCTCTTTTAGAGAACATTTACAAATTTAAATAAAGGCACTTTTAACTCATTATAACAGTAAATAAAAATGTTGCTGTTTATACCATCAATTCCAGAAGATTTATTACGTTTTAAGCTTTTAAAAGCTGTTTTGTATTCTTTAAAGGTTAAATTCTCATTTTTAAATTGATTTTTATTGTTATGAAGGTATTCCTTATGATTTATTTACATTTGGAATTTTTGCCGCAAGTTTAGGTCCTATATTCACAAAAAAATTGTTAAATTCATTTGCTATATTGTTTTCATTGGCAATAGTTTTATTTTTAATATGTAAGATTTTCGGAAAGAAAGATTTATTGATTTTTGGTTTTCCAATTATTTCATTTAGTACTTGCCAAGTTTTCCTAGAATTTAATTGACACTTTTTAAGTTGCTTTTTATAATAGTTTGATTTTACAGTTCGTTTAATTTTCTCAAATAAAGTCCTATAGTTTTTATATTCTACCTTGGTCTTTATGCACTTGTTTTTTAGATATCTATCGTACAGTCGATGTTTTTGCTTCGAAAATTTTTTTAAATCTTTACTAAACCATGGTGAATTAAAGTTTTTAATTTTAATTGTTACTTCTTTTTCTGGGAAGTGTTTTTCATACAAGTTTAAAAAAATTGTGATGGAAGTTATTAAACATGGAATTTGCATCATTGAATGATTCTAATGGAGACCAGTCTATACTTTCTAGTTCATTTTGAAACGCTAATTGATTGTTTAATGATAGGAGGCGTTTAGTAAATGTAACTTATTGTTTTTGTTTATTTGACGGGTATTTTTTTTTTATTTATTTATTTGAGTTTTCATGCTATATTTTTCTATACAATGTTCTTATATCCAAAGATATTGTTGGCTTAGCATAGGAACAGCCACAAATAGTCATTAAGACTAATCCCAAGTAGCGTCCGTTATTGACCAACATTTTTGCGTACTGAATTACTACTCAAGCGCTGAGTTGGCGGTGGCGGGATTTGAACTCGTATCGTTCAACAGTCCGGGTTTTAACTTTTCCTTTAACGCTCTAACCATCTGAGCTATCCCGCCACATCCCGGGTATGAAAACTGGCATGTGATCTGAAATTGGTGCTTTAGCTATTCCTTTTTTTAACGAGTTTTTAAATAAAAAGTTAGTTAATATATTGTCTATTAATGTTGCTGAATTTCTTGTTATTCGTATTGGTCTGTTTATTAAAGGGATCACACCATATCTAAATCATTGTAATAGTTTTGACTTTCTATATCATTGTCATAATTTAGGGCGTTAATATTAAAGTCACCTAAGACAAACAGTT